TTATAGATGTGCGCAATTGATTTTGTGAATTAAATTGCTAAAATCTTTTTATAGTCGTGAAAGAAAAGTGGTTCACAATGCGTTAAAGTATTTGTCGAAGAGAAATACTAAGGGTTCGGACAATATTTTCATTGAATAATGTTTCCGACAAAGGTTGTCAAATTGACTGACATGTTTATCGCATAGTACAGTCCACTATGAAAATTAGCTGTGGTTTGTTTCAACTACCTATTTTAAAAAATTTTGTCACTTTCTAATTGTTGAATTTTATGGAATTGGGAAAGAAGTACCGAGTTTGAAGCGTTCATGAGCAAACATTGCAGTTGAATATTCAAGTTCTGAATTTGATTATTGATGAATAATAAAATAAATCCTACTAGCTCGATTGATGGTTTCATTTAATTTATTTAAACCAGGTTACCTATAGTAATATTTTTGCGTTAATTTATGAAAATATCAAATTAGCCCGTAATCCTGAATCCTGATACATAAAGTTAGCCTATTAATTTAACACAGGTACGACTGTACTCAGTGTTGCACTATCAAATGCAATTGACGCGCCTCTATGCCAGGGTTTTTATGTTCCTGGTCAGGCTGTATTTTGGACACTATAAAAAGTTTAGTTTGATCTGCTGTTTACTGGAACGGAAAAACCCCTCGAATTTTTATTTTAAACTTTATAGTCTTGCCTTCAGGTACAAAACCGCATTTAAGCGTGTTTATCTGTTCAAAAGTAAGAGATACGAAAGCCTTACCCTTGTTGAGGTTGGGGTCTGGCTCGGACACGATCGGCGGCGGGCCCTGCGTGGGCACCGGCAGCAGGTTGGACGGCGGCGACTGCGGCACCCACGGGCCGTCTGCGGACACCACACCATAACCATGACCATAACCAACAACTTGACCATGACCAACAACTTGACCATGACTATGACCAACAACTTGACCATGACCATAACCAACAACTTGACCATGACCATAACCAATATTACCATGACCATGACCAACAGCATGACCATTACTATAACCATATACACGATCAATGGATATCAACCACATTTATAGATTTTTAGTTGTTTAGAAGTTGTTGCAGTTGACGATAAAATGTCAGTTATAAATGTCCTACTCTAAACCACGGTAATAATATAAACCGTCCCATTCGTGACATTGACAGCGGGGCGCGCGCCACCGTCAATACCGGATTGCTGGTTCCAATTTTTGCCACGTTGGAAAACACTGAAATGTTATTTGTAGGAGGGCGCTGCAATCGCCTTGTCGTTGAAGTTTTGTTACGTGAATAAAATAAATTCATTGAAATAAGAGCATTATAAGAACTTATTATGCTAGAGTTTACATTAGTTCATAGTCTTTTGTAGCCTGAGCTAGAATAAGGCTACTGGAGAAGCTAGGGCGGAATGTCACAACTGGCTGGCTTACCTGGCGCCATGCCGCCTGTGTATGTGATGTCGCCACAGCGGCCGAAGGTGACTCCGCTCGAGCTGAAGGGCTCGAGCAGGTTGAGGATGCGGCCGTTGATGGTGGCGTCGGCCACGCAGCCTTGGAAAGGCACCTTGCTTCCTACGCGTCCGCCCACCACGTAGCCGTTCTGAACGCCGCCCACGAATAACACGCCTTCCAAGATCTGAAGCGGCGCGGGCGGCGTGTCTGAGCTGGAAGATAAAAGCATGAGTTAGGCCGGCAATACACGGACAGCTCGAGCAGTTAGTCAGTGATCAACATACACGGACCGCTCTTGCAGTCTAGAGTCAACAGCTTGAAGCTGCCAGCGATAACTGCTCGAGCAGTTGGTGTTAACTGCCCAACAAATCACAAGCGCGCGCGCCGTGGAATGAAGAAAGTGGGCGGAGGTAACTGCGCGAGAGCTGTCGACAGCTCGAGCAGTCAGTGTATGGCTGGCGACTGCTTGACCGCACGATGAAAATTCACCGTGCTGTCGACCGCCCGAATCAGTTGCAACTGCTCGAGCGGTTCGTGTATGTGCGTCCATAGAACTCTGCAGTTATTCCAATTGTAACAAAGACGTGTTGCAAACTTTTTGGCTACTTTAGGTGTCTACTGGACTATTATGGTACCTAGTTATTTAATTTTTAGCGTTAAGAGTCGCATCTCAAACTAATTTGAAAACTATAAATAACTTTATTTATAATTTTCATATTATGGTACCGTCGTCCACTGGACTGTTGTGGTGAAGCTATTCTTAACAACCCCCTAGACAAGTTGTAATTATTGATCGAATCGAAAATCGATTCCATAACTCCGTACAAAAAAGGCCTTTCGATCATTTTACGGCTGGTTTTAGTGTCACGCGGACTGTCTGTGCGGATCGCTCCGCACAGCCGATCTGTATGAACTGCTATGGAGCGGAGCGGTTCCTCCGGACCGCATTACTCTAAAACGCTCCCTAGAAGTTCATACAGATTGGCCGTGCGGAGCGGGTCTGCACCGGACGGTCCGCGTGACACTAAAACCAGCCCTAGACAAGTTGCACTTATTAATCGAATCGAAACTCGAATCCATCATAACTGCGTACAAAAGAAGGCTTTTCGACCATTTTTCGACTGGTTGCGATTATAATTTGTCTATAGCTTGGTCTGTGAGCACGTAGAATTTTGTCCAATGACCCCAAGCTACTCATCCTTATCGCTCGCGCGTAATTACATTGCTGTCGCGACTGTGCGACGGGCGCCCGCAGTGAGTGTGCGAGCGCGACAGCAACATAATTACGTGCGAGCGATAAGGATGGGTAGCTTGGGGTCATTGGACAAAATTCTACGTGCTCGCAGACCAGACTATAGACCGACAGGGCGCGTTACCTGAAGTAGTCAATGTCGTCCACGTAGAGCCGCAGGTGCTGCTTGTTGTGCACGACGGTGAGCACGTGCCACTGCGAGTCGTTGTACACGCTCAGCCCCGTGTCCAGCTGCTCGCGCTGGCTCATCAGCACCAGCCGGCCTGCGGACACCAGGTGTGTCAGCAATCAATCAAACATTCAATTCAAATCACTTATTTGCATTACATGTGTGGTTTGACAGTTGGTAAATGGTAGGGTAGTACATCACATGCACCCTGTAAGGGCATAACAAGTATTATGTATAATAAACTTACAGGTATATTTTGCGGAATTAATTCTTATGTAAGATAAATTAAATTTTACAAAATGAAACTACAATGTCAACAATCTCGAGAATTGAGCTCCCAACTGAAACTGGGTAAAGCGCAACATGGACATTCGACATACTCGTAAGCAGAGGCGGGGCAAGACCTAAATTTGATGTGGGCAAGACAGATTTCGCGAGGCCTTGTTCTGTGGCGTGGCGACCTGAAGAAGGATTTTATGAAATAACTAGCTGACCCGGCGAACTTTGTTCCGCCTTAATGGCAATAAATAAGCAGACTTTTTTTATTTCGAACGGGATAAAAAGTATCCTATGTCCTTCTCCTGGCTCTAAACTACCTCCCAGACAATTTTCAGCTAAATCGGTTCAGCCGTTCTTGAGTTATAAGTGGAGTAACTAACACGACTTTCTTTTATATATATACTAGCTGACCCGGCGAACTTTGTTCCGCCTTAATGGCAATAAATAAGCAGACTTTTTTTAATTTCGAACGGGATAAAAAGTATCCTATGTCCTTCTCCTGGCTCTAAACTACCTCCCTGACAATTTTCAGCTAAATCAGTTCAGCCGTTCTTGAGTTATAAGTGGAGTAACTAACACGACTTTCTTTTATATAATAGATAGATAAAAAAAAGGGTCAAAGGTCTATACATTGACAGTTTCTGATTTCTTGATTCAGTGATTATTTTTAAAGGAATATTGCGCCAAAGAATAATGTTCGTCACTTAAAACCGTGTTGTTGCTTAATTTTGTGTCTGATTATGGCTGAATTTGTTTGGAAAAAAAAATATTTTTATTTTTAACTACATTGTTTAGCTATCAAGAATTTATATTTAATAGTCAATGTTCGTATTGTGATATTGTCATCTCCACCTTGTATACATTTTTTCAAAATTTTTGATGCGCGAGGCCCCTTGTACCGCGAGGCCGTAGGCGGTGGCCCACGTCGCCTACGCCTTACGCCGCCTCTGCTCGTAAGCTTCGTTTTGTCCATGTTCATCCTCAGGCCTACCTGTTGGGAAACTCGATTAAGGTCTTCGAGCATTGTGCCAAGATCTTCCAACGATTCTGCCATGACCACAATATCGTCGGCAAACCGAAGGTGAGTGATGTACTCGCCATTAATGTTTATGCCGAATCCTTTCCATTCCAGGAGTTTGAAAGCGTCTTCCAATGCAGTGGTGAACAGTTTAGGAGATATAACATCTCCCTGCCTAACGCCTCACTGCAGAGGAATCGTCTTCGTGCTCTGCTCCTGTACTCGGACCGACATGGTGGCGTTTTTGTACAAGCACTTCAGCACCTCGATATACCGATAGTCAATACGGCACCGCTGGAGAGATTCGACGATTGACCTCCTTCTCGAAATTGGGCCTACCTAGCTGGATCGTTTGTCGACCGCAAAACCGGTTCGTGCATTCGAATGATTGCACGAACAGGTTTTGCGGTCGTCGAGACACTCAACAACGCATAACAATGACACCCTTTACGAATATTACACATACAATACTACTTTACTATTATTACACTTCATTTACGCACACACCTACACAAACGGTTCTCAGGGGTTAAATTTCGGAAAATACTGAATAGAAGCCGAGATCATAATTATCCGCGTGCCAAAGAGTAGTAGAAATTCACCAAAGACGGCAATGGTGTGTCACTGTTCGTTTTTGTTCTTTTGTTTACAATATTCTAAATAGTTCGTTATCGAGGTCAAGAAACAAGATTTTGTCCAGTACCTTTGATGAGCGACAGAGACACGCTGTCCGGCATAGTGGGCGTCTGCATGCGGCTGACGTAGAGGAAGATGAGCCCGTCCGGCCGCGCCGTCCGGAACTTGAGTGTCAGCTGCAGGTTGTCCGTGGTCAGGTCCACGTAGCGCAGGTAGCTGTCTTGTCCGGACAGCGACACTAGCGACGCGAACTGTTGGGCACAAGTAATTGGATTCAATTATAGTTGTTGTAAAAAAGGGAAAATGTGAACATTGAAAGTTATTCCCACAAAGACACACAGAGCTGGAAAGAAAGTTATTCCTAAAAAACTTCACAGGAGCGTTCTTTCTTTCACTTTGGTCTACAAATATAAACTTTTCAGGCGAAAGTTAATAGGCGCTTACAGAGTAGATAATGTACCATCCTAGACTTCATCTCAATGAGGGTTTTCGCGTATGAAGGATCCGCTAGATGGCGGGATGTGGATGTGGGGTCTGACTGCTGCGTGATTGGTGGATCTTGACATATCTGTCAATGTCATGTCAAAAAAAACAAATCATGCAGCATTTGGACCTCGCGTCTACGTATTACCATCTGGTGGATTTTTCATACGCGAAAACCCTCACTAACGTCAAATATTACCTTGTTCTACATTACAAAAAAATTGGGACTCGAATTCTTGATCCAGATACCTTTGGTGGTGAACTAATTAACAAATCATTTTGTCCTTATTTGCATGTGCTGGGCCGTGTGACCCACTGTNTAAGGAACATACAGACAGACAGACAGACAGACAGACAGACAGACAGACAGACAAAAATTTTACTGATTGCATTTTTGGCATCAGTATCGATCACTAATCACCCCCTGATAGTTATTTTGAAAATATATTTAATGTACAGAATTGACCTCTCTACAGATTTATTATAAGTATAGATTATTTTTTTTTAAATTATTATTGGCGAGCATTTAAAAAAAATAGCAATAGGATTTACTTTGAAATCGCTTCATCTCATGCCCAGAACCATAGCAGTAGAAAGTTGCATATTTATTGTAGTGTATCAGTAGATTTGGGGACGATAATCAAAAAATAGGCTTAACGGTAAATCATCTGACACCCGTGCCAACATGGCGCCGACACTTTGGGACAAATTAAATTCAAGATTAAAGCGTTGATGTTATCGGAAACATTTTCTGTTTTCTAAATAGATATCTTCTCGTTAGACATTTAAATGTAAAAAATGTTGTTGTAAGAATGTAAATTGTGCAGCATATAGAGAACAGGTTACATAATTGCATTATGGGTTAAAAAAAGGCATATTTAAATTTTTGTAGCAACACAAGATAATGACGTCAAATACATTTAAAAAAATGCAGGACTCGTGTCGTGTCTCTGTCAAGGGGACATTTTTTTTTAAATCCTGACACATTTACCTTTTATAATCCTGATGTCTCCCATAAACCTAGGGGCACGAGAACTATTTGTTATGCTGAATTAGATTATTTTATTCTGTTGTACCTATTTTAATCTAATTTACAAATTGGAACAAAACCATCACAAAGAAAACAAAAAATACCATCGTAATTCTTAGAACGATTTTTTTTTAACTTTGATTAAACATTATAATATTCTGCAAAAATAGCTAGTGCTTCAAAATACTAAACCGAACAAAATCAGGAGCGAAAGCTAGTTCAAAACTTTAAGCACTTATTTTTACCCCGATTGCCCACGCAGCGCGTCGGTGAAGTAAAAATAAACCATCGGAAATATCGGAATATATTATGCGCACGAGTTGTATCGTTTGACATAACTTTAAATGATGGCGCTAAGATCAAATAGCGTGTCGTCTTTTAGACCAAGAAAACGAGTTTATTTATTCAAATCAGAAGGTTAATAAAAGAGTTTTCCGGCGACTTGGCCCACTTTTAGCTTGATCCAAGAGCCAAGTCGCCGATTGAATTTTTAAATATTTTTTCTTTCGTCAACTGGGCCCACCGTCAATGTGCAAGTGCATTGTGCAATCTTTGTTTTGACAGCTGTCATCCGCTTGCATTGATGTCTTTGGGTAATCTGAAATTAACTTGGAACTCCTCCTATGTTTTTCTGATTATTTATGTTCGTTGCGGGTCCAATGACAGTTTAACTTTCTCAAGACGAACTTGACCTTCACTGGTTGGGTTTTTATTGGCGGTCAAGATGTCCTGGCTACACAGGAGTTGCAGTGGTGGGAACGAGAGGTGGGAATAATCCCGTCAATGTGCATAATGTGCCTAACATATCTCCTCTCCTCTCCGATTTGGTGGAAACCGAGCCTCATGGTAGTACATTGACTTTTCTGCTATCAGTACATAAAGAAGGCAGACCCAGTTGTGTAAGGTCAGCAAAACAGATATAAATCAATCCAGTTGAGCAGGATACTTGCGCATCGCTCCCGTAGCCAGTGTGCCGGTTTGGGTACGGTGACCATGAAGAATGAGTATTATGGGACTTTTACTACGTTTTTCCATTGCAAAAATATTAATGCTAGACATAATATTCTTTCTTACAAGTTCTTTTCTGCTCAACCCAAAGGTAAAATGGTCGAGAATACTTTAGTGCATTAAGTTAGCCTTATGTAAAATTTATTTGGCATTAAAGTTTTAAATAAATAAATAATATTGAGATGTGAACTTATGCAAGCAAAAAGATTTTACTTTATCGACTCAAAAAAACGGCATTATATTTATTTAATTCATTAACAAAACAATGAAATTATTTTGTTTATCGTTGAATTATTTGATACTTGTGACTATTTATTTGATTTATAACATTATGACAGCGCTTCTGATTATAATGTAGTGTAACACAATAATCAAACAAATAGACAGTTCGTAGGTAGGTATGTCCTATTAAATTTAATTTAACGAATAATTAAATAGAATAACAATGCAACAAAAACAAATAAATAAAAAGACGGCGTGTCTGAAAATAAATTGATAACAAATAAAAATGACATTTATTAACATTTGACACGATCAAAGCGCCGGCCAGAGAATGTAATATATTATAATTGTGCTATTAAAACAAGTAATTTGAAAATAAATAAAGCCGATTGACATTGACATAGCACTGTGTAACGTGAGTAACACTATTTTTTAATTAGAAAGTGTAATCACTAATATTGAAACTGATTTGTTTCATTCGTAAGTTTACAATAGTTAGGTACGTAAATATCTAAATAAACGGGGATAATATAGTTTGTTTACTTCATTAAAATTTGCACTTTACGTAACTACTCAAGTAGGTAAATGTTTTTTTAAACGAGCATTTTAACATAAGTTTTTTATCGATGGTATTTTTAAATGAAATATTTTTCCTGTTTTATGGTTCTAAATTATTCTATACTTATCTATTCTAAGTTTATTTATTGGTCACCCTACTCCACCCCATATCGGGCCATCCCGTTACAAGTCTGTCTCACAACCCGGCTTTCTACCTTACAGACAAAATAATATCAATCTAAATTCAATCCATTAAAGTTGTCATTCGTTCATCACGTTATACTTACCCTGTGACCTAACCAGTGATTTGAGACCCTTGTTTTTGAACTCTAATGTCAAGATGTGTTTATGTTTAGACAGGTCTCTGTAAAATGGTTCTGTATGTGACTAAGATAGATGTTATTAATAAATAGGAAAAGATCCAAAATAGGTAATGGGTTTACAGCTTGCTATGTTCAATATAAAGTTGGTAATATGATCCTCTTATGAATCATTGGCCAAATAAGATATCGCTGGGCACTTAGAATCGAGAACTAAACTAATACACGTATGAAGCCACGAATAGATAGTGAAAATAAAAAAATCATTTTAAAAATCTGAAGAAAAGACCTACTTGTCAGAGTAAAATTAGTTAAAAAAAAACCTCTTTCATTTAATTAACTAGAAGTCCGCCTTTAACTTTGTTAGGTAGCAGACAGTGAAATGTGTATAGCAAAATCAATTTTATGCTATTAACCATAAAATTGAAAATGAGTGAATGGTCAAGAGATCCGGGATCGGGAAATCTCGTTATACCTTATTAAGTGAAAAGCATTGAAGTATTTAGATGGTAATAGCGATGAATGTATGGTGATTGGATTATAGTGAGAAGAAATCATATCTAAATATTTATCTTTGTATCCTAGTTGGCAATATTACCAACATGGCATAAAACCACTTCATTTTAGCCCTGAAAAGATCTTAAGTTTAAGTACATTTTGAAATTGAGTTTTTTTTTCTCTTATGACTTTGTAATCATTTAGCCAGTGTCAAGTAAAAGTATTTGCATCAAATTCAAATACATATTATTACGGATTAATAAATGTTCAATAAATAAGAGTTCTTGCTTTCTTCGAAATCACAAACCTTAATAAATTAATTATCGCACGTAAATAATTTACCAAAATTGTTTCTACATGTGACCTAGGGTTTNGAACCCGAACTAACTCTGTGGAACGGAAGCTGCTGTCACTTTGACAGCGCCTTTTTGTGTTTCGCGCCATTATGAGACTGTCATGTCTAGCCACGCTTGGAGTGAAAATAGTGAAATTCGGTAGCAAACAGAAAGGAGACCAATTATTTTAATTTATTCATGCGATTTCACTACGTATTTTTTGCTCATTAGGACCAAAAATGTTGCGGAGACGAAATAACGTCGTTGTAGTTGACATTTGCCCACTTAAACTTAATTGCTTGTGTAAAGTGTGTAGTTGAAACAGTTTCTAAGTAAATCGACACTTCATTCAACTTTTTAATTTAATTTAATTTGTCTTTATTCAGAAAACCCCAGCTCTTTATTTTTTTTTTACTTTCGTTGCAAAAAGCAATTAAATAGAAATACATACAACACTACAATATTAACCAATTTAATTTTTTGCACAATTATAATTTAATTGGCTTTGAAATTAATACATTTTCGTAGTTTTTGTTAGACAAAATCTATGGTAGAGTCGGGTTTTGATAGCTCACAAAAAGTATGTCAACTGACTAGTACTATCAATTAGCTTAATAAAGAAAGGCCTTTATTCTAACCAATCGGCCTCTCACAATCGGTGTCAAATCCACCCAATGGGTGACATAACGAGCGTTGCATGTCAAACGCAGCTGCATTGGGCGCGATAGGTCGCACGCAAGCTCTGTGACTCGGTGCACTGCAACCTTTTTCATTTTACGCCATTGCCGGCATTTGGAGCAGTAGAGTACAAAAAAAAAAGAATTAACTTTTTAACGTGTCTGATTTATCAATTATTTTTTATTTTTTGAATTATTAAAATGTAACTCTAAACCCTGGCCTATTCCCAAAAAAAATATAGAGACTAAAATGGACCTTCCAGTTCCACCTCTCGTTCATATCGCAAGATCTTTTGTGTTGTCCAGTTTTACAGACTTTTACGGCTTGGCCAAAAGTTAAAAGTCAAATTAATCAGTGACGTTCAATTTTGTCCTAGGCTAGGGGACAATTAAATGTAATTTTTACTATTCATTGGAATATAGTAGGTTGACAACATAGTAACTTAACTTCAACTTATCAAATCTTCCCTTCTTGTAGAGGTTTTAAGGCAACTAACTTATGAACGTAAGCTTACAAGTTCCAATTACCTATGTTTCAAAACTCGGTTATTAAGCTGCCAGTTAACTTTCCTTTACCCTTCACAAATAAAAGCAAATGCAAACATTATTGTAAGAACACGCTGCTAATATAGGTCAGCCATTTTCAATTCATAGGTCACGAGCTCGTAGGGCGTATTGTTTTGGAATATTTACATAGCCTTGGGGCTTGGGATAATTTAATTATAAGCTGCTTGAAACATTAAACTGTTATTGTACAGCATTTCAATTTATTTTCTGGATAACTTCTGCCCGCGAATTCGTCCGTGTGCATTCGTTATTTGTATAATTGAGGTATTTATTTAATCTTTCATGTCTTTAAAGATAACTATTAGCTATNTTTAGCTATTTTGACGTAAGCCGTGACATAAAAAGTTTCATCGAAATCCGTCTAGTAAACGTTGTGTGAAGGAGTAACATTTTAAAAAATCTAACCATTATTTATCGTGTTATTAAAGTAGATATTTATCATTTATTTTTACTAATATTTCTAAATGTTTTCTTTGCAATCTGATAAACTGTGTCACCTAATTTTAGTTGACAAGCATCTAAATACTACATCAAAACTAGATTCAACTAAATCGAGCCCAAAATTGAAACATTAAACCTTCAAACGCGAAACCATTACGCTATATCTTATTAGATCACGTTACACGCACTCTTGCGCAACGAAGGGTTAAAAAAACAAAATGGCCGAAAATAACAAGATGGCCGGAGACAGTTGAGAATGCGAGTGATGTTTCAAAGGAAATAGAAACAAAATAAATGGAAGAAGATTCCGTTACGGATTCATTAACTCCTGAAATAGTAGTTCATAGGAAAATATTGGTAGAGTCGCGAGCAAAAAATAATATTCATATAAATAGATGTTATTATTAATGAAAGAAGCGTCAATATAGTGTTAATGATTTGGTTCTGATAAGACTTCTACTTGATCCTTAAGAATTAAGTGTAGCATCTAGGTGGTTAAACGAAAAAGAAAACGGTCTGTAGAACCAATTGACGTTACATTAAAAGCTGATCGCAAATCGCAATCTTTTTATAAATAGATCAAATTTTAATAATGTTTGGATTGAAGAAGACTACTAAGAAAAGTGTCTAAGCAATGATTATTACGTCAGTCGTCTATGGCAGTTAATTACAGTCGGAAAACAGGCAAGTCTCTAGTTAGTACCTACTCAACATATTATGACACCAGCACGTAAATTAAAACGCTCAATTTACAATTGAATTCTGTTTTGGTTTAATTTCACCTAAATTATTGACGACTAGACTGTACAAATAAAGAAATTTTGACTTTGACTTTGACTTATTTATATTTATTGTGGACTCACCTCGACCACTTGCCTCAGGTCCTCGACGTAGACGTTCTCCGTCTGAACGATCTCAGCGCACACGCGCTCCAGCTGCGTCAGGCCTGGCAGCTCCTCTGTGTCCAGTTGTTCTGGAAGAAAACAACCGGGCAACCTTCAAATTCCACTGTCCACCGTGTCTCTCTAAACCAGTCTTTCCCAAAGTGGGCGATAACGCCCCCTTGTGGGCGCTGCAGGCTTAAAGGGGGGCGGTAAGAGACCCAGAAAAAAAATCAAGACGTTGTGTAGAGGCTTGGGAGGCGTCATCTACTAGGAGGACTCTTAGACACCGACTGAGCTCGACTCTTCTTGACTACAAAAATGGGGGGCGCTCAAAAATAATTTATTCTCAAAGTGGGCAGTAGACTAAATAAGTTTGGGAACCGCTGCTCTAAACACTCGACATTGGCAAAACCAGTGTGCTTCAAATACGCACCATTGAAGCCATTAGACAGAATAATAATAATAATAACAAGTTAAAGGTGTACGCTGGAAGGAAAACTTTTATAGGAATCAAAAGAGAACATTCACACCCTTACTATGAGTCACAGCACAGACACAGTGCCCGTGGACGCACAGGGCGTCCCAAAAACCTATTCATAGAGAATGAGTGGCGGAGTGACACACACGAACGCTGTGCGTTCGATTTCGCATAGCGTTGCTGCTTCACTTAAGCAAGCATCGTTTGTAAATACGGGTGTAAGTAATTTGGAATAGGAAAATGTACCTACATAAAAACGTACGAGTAAATTTATAAGTAACCTCTATCTACACTTTCCTCAAATGACATCAGCTCTACTCGTACATTCAACAATTAGAAATACCTTTAAAATTAAATACTTACGCGACACGCCCTCCGAGTTCCTCTCCTCCGAAACACTGGTGTTCATGCCAGCATTGTTCACAAAGTTATTACTGCCGTTGGCCGAAGTCATGTCAGCGTCACTATGGTCATCCAGGCTCTCGATGGACGCCAAATACGCCGAGTTCACTCCTCCTTTGTTTTGAACTCCACTGCTCGAAGTCGAGCTAGACGAAGCAATGGAACTCATCGACAGCGGTCGAGAAACTTCCACCGGAGGATTCAACCGCGCTATCTCAGGTATCGCACAGCTCTTCAAGTTGCCAGTCGACCCTATCGCCTCTGGGTAAGGCCCAGTTTTCGCCAGCTGCTTCACCGGACTCTCGTTCTTAAAGTCCTTCCTGTGCAAACTATTCGTTCCCCCGTTCACCTTCGCGACTTTGGCAGGAGTTCCTTCGAGGGGGATTTTTGGTTCAGGTTTCAAAGGAGAACTTTCTTTGGACGACAATTTTATATCGAACTCTCTATCGTTGGAAGTTATAGAGAGCTCGATGGATTGGTCAATGTAAGGCAGGGATAGAGACTCGAACGCCGTCTTGTTTACATTCGGCACGTCGTATATCGCTGGCCTGTTGTTCGTTGGGACATCGTAAGTTGTTTGAACTTCGTCTATCTTGAATTCCGGTTTTACTAACGTTTTTGACGGCGACTCGTCTTCGAGTCTGTGTTTGCCGAACTTTTTAATGCTACAAGGTTGGTCGTATATTTCCACTGAAGGTAATATTTCGACACCCGATTGAGATATCTTGGACGTCGCTCCGACTAGGGGAATGTTAGATCGGTGCCTCGCAGACGACCTTCCGACAGAGATGGTTTTCTTTTGGAGCTTCACTGTTGTAGTTTCTGATGCACTCGATATCATCCTCTTAACATTCGGCGAGAGATTGTCGAACGCGGACGTCTCTTTCGTTTCCTTAAACGTCCTTTGCAACCTAGTATCCCTAACGAGAACCGAATCACTGGATGTGAGTTCACACTTATCTTCTTCACTAGCACCATTTCTATCACTTTTAGTTCGTAACGAGTAGTATAAAGAACTTTTATTGATCGTTGCGATGGGTAGTTTCACGCTGCCGGCAATTTTCGAGGGGTCTTTCGGTGGGGATTTGGATATTTCTGAGACTGGCTCGTCTTTTGTTTCTTCAGTCATTGTGTCTTCTACCGGTGGGTCGTTTCTGGCGTCTTTTGCCGTTTCAAGTGTCACATCTGGCCGCAGACTCTTGGCTGGCTCCAGGAGTGAGTCATATATGCCGATGAGCGTGGGCGTCAAATCGGTTGTGCTACCTGGAACAAAGTAAAATCCTGTTAGAGCTAACAAACAACATTGTTACTTATTTACGCATATGACTTTTTTTAGGCAATCCGATCTTTAAGTTCTAGGTGACAGATGCGGATATTGCGTAAAGAATTTGAGTGCAGCAGTTGACAATCAATTAGTAGTTTAACAGCTATTTAATGGGTCTGCATTCTCCGTTGGACAGAAACTCCGCGACGGGCATGCAGCCTGAAGTTATGATCGCAAATTGACTGTGATATAATTAAGTCATTATCTTCATTATACCTTTGACGTTTCACAATGGAAATATCAAGTGAAATGCGTTTTGCGTAACTTTTTTCGCTTAATTAAGTGAATGCATGTAGCTTCTACGAAATTGAGAGATTTATTCATGAATGTACAACTTTATTCATGAGGTTACGTCATTAATTTGTCATTTTAATTCTTGGTGCATTTCAAGTGACAGTCTTGGTCGACAAAAAACATAGTTTTGCTCTTTATTTACATGCAAACATTCTCTTAAAAATGCTTAACAAGATATATTTATTTGGTTACTGGTGAAATGCATATCATTTAACATTAAGCAGGTCGATGTTATCAAATGGAAGTCACAGTTGAATAGCAATAAAGTTAAAAGCTTTTATAAACCAAAGTCACGACTATTTGTATCAATGACAAGCTGTTTTCAGTTTTCACTATCATAAAAGCCTTAAAGGGGAGTTGCAATTAAGTAAACGTCCATAAAACATTGATGGGTATAGTTTTTTTTAACATTTTAAGCTGTGGCATGAAGATAAATAAGTGCGATATTGGAAACTAAAAAGTCGTAGAGAAAAGGTACAATAATTGCCTTAATAATTTAAAAGTGTTTCTTGCCTTTTGCCTTCTTAGGATACTCTCAAATAATTCAAATACTGGAGGTCTCCATTTAAGTAGAGACTTTATAAATAAATCGATATCGCTCTATAAAATCTAAAACTTCGATACTGGGCGGAAAGTAATGGCCCCAATAAAAATGCTCCATGGCGACCATGGCACCAGCGTCCATAAAACCTATTTTACATGATAATAAAATGGGAACAACTTATTCTAAGCTCTACATGAATATGTTCCATAATGAAAAGATGGTTAGTAGGGACATTCCGGTACGCGGCCTCCATTCCAGAACCTTGCTGCCCCATCGGCCGTCAGTTCTGCGTACTATGTGCCCTGCCCATTGCCACTTCAGCTTGCTAATCCATCGGGACATTGTCAGATTTCAAGATACGATTTTTGAGATGAGACGAACAACTTATGATCCATTCTTGTTATCAATGTATGCTCTGAGCTCTTAAAAACCTCTTGATCTCTGATTCTTTTACTCGTAAAAACAAATTGATCATATAAGGGTTTAGTTTTTTCCTTTTGAGGTACGGAACCCTAAAAATGGACATATTATAACGACGAGTCTACTGAATACACTCATATTCTGTTGAGTAAGTTATATTTCGGGTAAGTACAGTCACATGCAAAAGTTTATACTTCAACACTGTAGCACCTATTGAAGTCATAATAAAGGCTATTTTATTACAAAAAAAAAAGTAACATTTTGTGTTGTCTGTACTGTACCTACAGATACATAGAATAATGAACAATAAATTATTTGGTAGAATACGTGTATGTTGAAGATCCAAAGATTAAATTGAAACCATGTTTGATAGTAGTTAGAAGACAGGTGTGAATTTTTAATTTCCGGTATGGAATATACCTTTGGAGCCCTTTTATTGGCATTAGAGCAACTGGGGATATATCAGTTATTGTATCTTCAACCATACTGACTTGCGTTTAAGTTTAAAACCAATTCAAACTACAAGCAATCAAAATTTCGATCGTTAAAGGGTTAAATGTTTTGGTAACTTAGAAATAGATTGTCAGGTTTGGTCAATCTTTCAACTACACCACCGGCTCAGTTGTGGTTTGGATCCTACTAAGAGCCAATTCTTTGCCATATGCCACCAAATTTTCGACTCTGCTTTTTAATTTTAATTAGAAGTTAAAATTAAAGTAAGTTGGTAAAGGAAAGGTTTACATTTTGACTTAAGACATTTTGACATTAGTGACATAAGACTCAGAGCTTAAACACTCCACTGCGACAAAAATACTAGTAACTAAAAAGAGTAACGCACGCTGCGGCCTGCGCGGGCGCATACACGATTGACATAGAGCTGATAAAACATTTTCTACTTATGCAACAAAGGTGACTATTTGCGATTTCAATATTGACTAATTCTACGTGCTCACGGACCAGGCTTTTTAGATACAAAAATTAACGGTATTTAACTATTTAAAAAGGATCATCCTTTTGGGTCAATCGGGTTTCACCCTTCATTTGTGTTACATTCTTAAATTCTTAAATCATAATTATTGCCGACAAATCTGGTGACTCCAGTGCTGAGCTTTAAATAAATTTATGTATAAGATAGATAGAGAAGATTAGTTCAGATTTTGCAATCAACATACAATTTTTGTGTGATCTCATTTCATTATAACTAAGTACGTTTACCAAAAGACCAACTGCATTATAATGTACTTTAATAGCTAACAAAAATTTAACAGAGCGGTATTACCATCTCTGTACAGTTCCCGTGTGCCAGTGAACTGTGCACTGTGGCCGGTCAGGGCGCACTTCCGCCGATCAAGATGTATTACTAAGACATCGCTTCCTACTGGGACGAGTCAGAATTGATACTACTTTACTAGTATGATATCTATACATCGGTATTAATTTATAGTTTTGGCACTATTTATTTAACTCTAGGTCTAAAACAGGATTATTCCCACCTCTCGTTCCCACCGCTGCAACTCTTGTGTAGCCAGGATCTACAGCTTGACCGCCAATAAAAACCCAACCAGTGAAGGTCAAGTTTGTCCCGGGGGAAAGTTAAATGGACCAATGATTTAATCGGAAGAACATAGAAGGAGTTCGAATTTTCTCTAGTCGTCTAGCAACCATAGCGTCTAGCTACCTGCCAGTCGTCTCGTGACACGAAACAAGATGCTTTAATTTAGGATAACACATATCTCACGATAAGCCAGGTCTCTACATTGATTTGGAAACTTCACCCACGCTTAAATAGCACCGAACTCCACTTTGTACCAAAAGCTTTATCATCTGTCACCCTGTTCATATGTGAACACGATGACGTTCTCCCCTCAGATTAATAAAGCCTACACAGATAGTAAACGCAAGAAAAGTGAAGCATTGTAAACCAGACTACTGGCTTAGTTTTTCCCAAACATTCTGACAGTTATTACATAATTATTATGATTTCTATCTTACTTTAGACAAAGCGCTTGTTCTAGCTGTTATTAATCTAAGCCCTGATCATTCTCCCTTCCAAAACAATAGAGCGACAACGCCCACAAATTCCGACTCCGTGCCACATTCGAAGTGACAACGCACAATGGCAGCCTTGATCGAGTAACCTTTCGACACCGATCCACTCGAGAATGGTGGCTACATTCGTAATCGTTTTCGATTTAATCGATGGCTCGATTAGAACTAGGATATCGGGAACGATTTCGAGACAAAACAAACAAAGACAAATACCCCCTTATTAATCAAAGTTACACCCTAGTTGAACTCTGGCTTAAATGATCATTTAGTATGGAAATGACTGTTTAATCCAAGGTTCATCCTAGGTGTAACTTTTTATTAATAAGGGGGATAAAGTTTAGTTAACAAAGTTACTCTTTTTTTCGTTTAGCCAAATGACGTCACAATCCAGTTTGCCAGATCCTAAATTATCGGATCCCGCAAAACTGAATTGCAGTGGGAAAGGAAGGACGTATAGGAGTAACGCGAGGAGTACCTACCGCCAAAGTTACCGAGTTCACGGAAGAAATTTCGCTGAATTACCATTTTTACTGTGCTGGCACAGAACCGAAATACCTGTAAAATGCCTCCGTCGTTACCGGCATTAGTCATGACGTTTCCTTTCATCGTCGCTAACGAGCTGTCCCAACGCTGAACTAATTTGAAAATTTGAAGACCGTGTGAGGCCGTGACGACACAACTAAGCTTAGTTCAGTAGCTTCCCAAGTAACATTTTACTCCATTTAAGAGTTCACATTTAGTTCCAATGTGTACTTAAAGCATTAGTACAGTTCACTCGTGATGTATAAGCTGTATTATTGCAATTAATTACACCTATACCTATCTAAGGGACTTATAGGAGTGTAGACTAGTGAGGGACNTTAAATAAGTGTCAATAGGTATAGTGATAATGATTTGGTTCTGATAATACTTCTACTTGATCCTTAAGAAATAAATATAGCATCTACCTAGGTGGTTAAACGAAAAAGAAAATGACTACAGTAGCACAAATTGAAAACGTTAGATTAAAAGCTGATCGCAATCTTTTTATAAATACCTAAGTCATTTCGCAAATCGAAATAATCAAATAATGTTTGGATTGAAGTAGACTAAGTATTAGGAAAAGTGTCTCAACAATGATCATTACGTGAGACGTCTATGGCAGTTATTAAAGTCGGAAAACAAGCAAGTATTAGATGATGGTAAAGAACCTACCTACTCAATGTATGACACAAGAACGTAAATACATACTTACGCTCAATTTAATTGAATTCTATTTTGGACTTTGACTTTGACTTATTTATTTTTATTGTGGACTCACCTCGACCACTTGCCTCAGGTCCTCAACGTAGACGTTCTCCGTCTGCACGATCTCAGCGCACACGCGCTCCAGCTGCGTCAGGCCTGGCAGCTCCTCTGTGCCCAGTTGTTCTGGAAGAAAACAACCGGGAATTCTTCAAATTCCACTGTACACCGTGTCTCTCTAAACCAGTCTTTCCCAAAGTGGGCGATAACGCCCCCTTGTGGGCGCTGCAGGCTTAAAGGGGGGCGGTAAGAGACCCAGAAAAAAAATCGGGACGTTGTGTAGAGGCTTGGGAGGCGTCATCTACTAGGAGGACTCTTAGACACCGAATGAACTCGACTCTTGACTACAAAAATGGGGGGCGCTCAAAAATAATTTATTCTCAAAGTGGGCAGTAGACTAAATAAGTTTGGGCACCGCTGCTCTAAACACTCGACATTGGCAAAACCAGTGTGCTTCAAATACGCACCATTGAAGCCATTAGACAGAATAATAATAATAATAACAAGTTAGAGGTGTACGCTGCTGGAAGGAAAACTTTTATAGGAATCAAAAGAGAAGAACATTCACACCCTCACTATGAGTCACAGACACAGTGCCCGTGGACGCACAGGGCGTCCCAAAAACCTATTCATAGAGAATGAGTGGCGGAGTGACACACACGAACGCTGTGCGTTCGATTTCGCATAGCGTTGCTGCTTCACTTAAGCAAGCATCGTTTGTAAATACGGGTGTAAGTAATTTGGAATAGGAAAATGTACATAAAAACGTACGAGTACATTTATAAGTAACCTCTATCTACACTTTCCTCAAATGACATCAGCTCTACTCGTACATTCAACAATTAGAAATACCTTTAAAATTTAATACTTACGNAACTGTACGTTATGAGCTTGTCCCTGGTAGCAACTGACCTGCAAGTACACAGCGCCCTCCTGCATCTCGACCGAGAAGAAGTAGTCTCCTTCTCCCACGAGGTAGATGAGTCCGTTCGGCGCGTAGGTCCTGAAGTAGAGCAGCACGTGGTCCGTACTCTTGCGGCCCGGAACTGTACGTTATGAGCTTGTCCCTGGTAGCAACTGACCTGCAAGTACACAGCGCCCTCCTGCATCTCGACCGAGAAGAAGTAGTCTCCTTCTCCCACGAGGTAGATGAGTCCGTTCGGCGCGTAGGTCCTGAAGTAGAGAAGCACGTGGTTCTTCTGCGGGACGATGTACTCGCGCGCTGGCATCGTCACGTGCGACTTGCCGTTGAAGCGGTACTCTTGCGGTCCTGAGCTGGATGTTATGAGCTTGTCCCTGGAAATGTGTTGGCGAAACTCTTTAAGGCAGTGGTTCCCAAAGTTGTCTGGGCTACGACTCATCTAATACAAGTTTCCAAAGACCCATAGAAAATAAACCCTATAGAAAATTTAACCGTTGCCAATATGCCTAAATAATGGACTCGGATCTGTACGGTGGTGTCTTTCTTCAGGCAGGGCCCACTCAATGTTCGGTCGCGACCCACCACTGGGTCGCGAGCCATAGTTTGGAAAACCCTGCTTTATGGACTATTCTCTCGTTATTCCAAAAATTTGTACTACTGGCGGAAAAAATTAGGATATTCGTCAGTACTGAACTACACTAATGAAAGTTTGAATACTGTAGACTTTGTAGTCTCTATAACTAATAGTCTTGTTTTCATTATTATTTGTCGCCAAATGACGGAAGACAGACGTTTTTGCTATAGTCTATGGCATGGCAAAGTTGTTATAACACTTTACGCACTGATTGACTCTGGTAGAAACGTTCCAAATACGGTATCAAGGTCTTCATTAGCAAGTGGTGAAATAGACCCACACTCTTGGAAAAGACATTGACCATTAAGATTTGAGCGTCAATAAGTGCGTCGCTGACGTCGGCTTTGCAATGCGATGCCGATGCCTCGGCTATAAAATGCTAATCCGACAAACGTTACTTCGACACTACTGAATATCGACATGACTTTACTTCGACACTACACTACTCAAACAAAGGTCGGAGTAACGTAATGTCGAAGTAACGTTTGTCGGAGTTTACTTAGGTAGCCCGATGCCTTACATAATAGGCTAGTTGCCTAAAAAAATTTTTTTAGTCCGTAATGTTTAATATCAAAAAATATTGGACACATATATTTTTATTTGTCAATCTAACAAATAATTACATAGTTATGGTGCGTTGAAGTTGCGCACGACGTCACAACGTGCGGCATTTTTAAGCAAGCGTTGACGTCACGGGCCTCTTCTTATGAACTTTGGGGCGCTTTATCTCTTTAAATTTTCATTAGTTTGAAAAAGTGAAAAATACGTGTAGAGTATTTTTTGATAAGTTAACTGACGGACTAATTAAAACTCTTGCTTTTTGACCCAGGCAACATCCCCATTTGTACCCTCGGATGATGTATTCTACTAATATCAGGGTAGAAGGAAACCAAGGATAAATTATTTAAAAAAAGAACTTGTAAATTACGATTGTTAAAATATTTTGCCATCACATACCTCTGCCTAGCGCCCTTCAGGTTAGCCGAGCTGATCGAGTTCCACAGTCCAACCGGCGTGTCTCCGATCACCAGCTCCTCGATCTGGCCCTCAAAGGCTGGGAAGCTGATGCCTTGCAGCTTGGCATCCGAAGGCACCCCTCCGACGTACAGCTTGGACTTCTGGCGGTCCAGGTTGAAGATGGTATGCTGTCCAGGTAGTACGGCCTCCTTGGAGTGGGTGATTTCTGAACCGTTGTCTAGGCTCTCGCGGATCGAGAATTTCACGTTGCGGCCCAGTCTGGAAATTAGTTTTGAGTATAGAAACATTTTTGATGGGCTATATTCGGCAGAGAAATAAAATTCTTCGTTAGTAAATAATTTACGTTAGTTAATAATAATAAGGCTACCTATGCCTATACCTATGCCGGCCAAACGGGTTGTGAAGGCCAAGTCTTCCATTTGCTTTTGGTAAATTAGAAAACATGTTCTGAAGTGGACACTGTTAGGTATTTGGGGAGTAGGTAAGGCGTGCGGGCACGAGTGAAACACAAACTGTCTAGCAATGCACTGGCGCGTATATTCGCCGTTACGTTTCGCGGGGAGAGCGAGAGCGGGGATGCATCTATGGATGCATCTGTCTCCCGTCTGTTGTATGCAACAGACACTTCATAAGTGCCACTAGTGGTCAAAATTGATTTTGATTGACTAAATAACTTTATGATGAATTTGCGACTGAGTACGTCTATCATAGTGTCTCGTATTGACCGGGGCATTAGTTTTGGGTGCGTTGCGGTGTCGTGAAGTAAAACTAGCGCAGGGATTGGCGAACATTTATACAACGTGCCACTTTTCCGAAAAAATTTTTTGCGTGCCATCAAATAACACCTAATGCTATCAATAAGGAGACAGTAAAGTGCCCCATGAGGGCCATCTTTTTCTTATTTACTATATTTTGACGTTCATAAGTGCCACCAGTGGTCTGAATTGAATAAAATATTTTTGATATTAATTTGATTCACCTGTCCACCACGACCTGGTACCAGCGCTCGTCGGCCACGAACTTGTCGCTGCCGATGCGCGCGGGCTCGCGGCCCGACTCGAAGCTGTCTCCGATGTCCATCACCAGATACGGGTACCCGTTTTGGATGCCCACCACCATGAAGTCGTCCTGTCGACAACATCATCGTTGAAAAGGGTCCTACTGGGAACTTAAATGAAAGAGTGGACTGTATTTCGATAGGGCTGGTTTAATAGCCGTTTACAATTATAGTCTTTTTCACGTAAGATGATCCGTATTACGCATACTACATATGCAGAATATATGTATTTGAAAAAATATTTGAATTTTATTAGCAATATAATAAAAAAAAAATACTACTTGTCTTGAAATACATAATAAAATCTGAGTTTATCTATATATATAAAAGAAAGTCGTGTTAGTTACTTCGCTTATAACTCAAGAACGGCTGAACCGATTTAGCTGAAAATTGTCAGGGAGGTAGTTTAGAGCCAGGAGAAGGACATAGGATACTTTTTATCCCGTTCGAAATTTTAAAAAAATCTGCTTATTTATTGCCATTAAGGCGGAACAAAGTTCGCCGGGTCAGCTAGTTGATTATATTTTAATTAAATACGATGTAAAAATATTTTTTATTTAATGTACGCAATGTGTGAAACAGAATAGATTTAGTGCTGGGGTATTTCTTGTATAATAAAATTGATTATTTCCGCGGTTCATTAATCGATTGCAGTGAATGCTTAGTTATTAAAAACATCACAAAAATCAACTATATTTTTCGATTATTGACTTTAATAAACGCATTGTAAATAAATTAATAGTTTTTAATTTAAAGAAACAGAACTAGTACTTTTTATTTAGGAATCGTTTTTTTGAACACGAACCATGAAATTTGAATATTATCAATAAAAAATTGTTACAATAATATTTGTAATTAAAAAAAATAACATGTTTTTTGTTAAATAACACCTATACAAAATATTTCTCTAAAAGTAGGTTTTACTAATTCTCCAAAAAAAGTCGATAGATAAATCGCTATGGTTTAGTTATGTGACATCTCTAAATCTTTCAAACTCGAAACGTCATACGGATCATCTTAGGTGAAAAAGACTATAGGTTTAAGTATTAAACTACGACGTGGTGATACAAAATGGCGATCGCGAGTTGGAGGTCCGAACGAGTAGTACGTGCTATGCATGGCTGGGGGCCCGAGCGAGTGTGTGTCGCGCTCGGCGTACGGCGCGCTGCTCGTGGTGGTGGGATTCCTCCCGCACGTCTCCTCCCGTGCGTCAAGACTGGTCCGCGACAATCGTATTCAACAATCTGAAAAAGCAGAAAAACCGGGGGCCACGGCATCTGCTGAGTGGGGTCCCATTGCGATGGGCATCGCTGTGCGACAGGGTGGCACTGCTCAGTTTACTTTCTCTTCCATTGTTGTTTATGTGTCACCTCTGTCTTATTTGTTTTTTTTTTATTTACCTCTTTTGTCTTCTGTGATGTCTATGGCAATGAATGTTTCTTACTTTCAATTTCTGTGAATTTAATAACACAAACCAATACTTTTCTATGGTTCTGATAAAAAGTCATATTGAAACATAGACAAACAAAGACAAAAGACTGAGTTTCTTCCGCCACTTCTTCTCAGCACCAGCCCATATGTTGTCCTGAAGTGATGGTTGAGCAAGCTATATTTTGGACGTGTATAATTGCCATGAAAAGGCCTTTGACCAGCAGTAGACATTTGCATTAGCAGCAGCAGTAGCATTTGGCTGAAACGAACGAACTGAAACATAGTGTCTGACGTTCACCTTTTCTTTCTTTTTTTTCACAGGTAAGAGTCGAGTCGAAGGTCCAGCCGTAACTTGTTAATGGCTTGAATGATTAAAGTAAGCCGTACGGTATCCTTCCGTTTGGCCAAATTACTTTTCGCCAAATTTCACTTCGCAAACAACTTATCGCCAAAGTTTCATTTCCCAAATGAACTTTTAGCAAATGTACTTTTCGCAACTATTTCAAATGGTCAAATTATCATTTGGTCAAATTTTACTTGGCAAATGTTTATGTAGCAAATGTTTTATTTTGCCANGGTGCGGATAAGTGTGCGTTGCAGTATGGAGTTTCATACAAAGAATACTGACCGCCTCGAGTTGATACGGTTACGATCCCTTTCCGGGTTAATAATAATTAGTGTGCTACGTCCTTAAACAAAAATTTAAATAAAAAAAGTTTTTAAAAACAAGCTTATAATGCTTTAGAAAGAATAAAATATAATTCTTTCAAACCCATCAACTTATTACTTTACTCAATTTATACAGTGTGTCTTGATAATGCGCACATATGAAAATAGTTGACTAGACTTATTTTTACCGACGGAAAAAAAGAAAAAAAATATCTGAGACTTAAAAAACAATATAGATTTTTTTTCAATTAGTTATTGTTAAGAAAATGTAATAACTTTAAACTAAGAGGTATATCCTGATAAAATAAAAACAGTAATAATGGTAAATAACAGGCGATACTAAAAAAAATACATAACATTAAACATACCCAGAAAATGCCAAAAAATAATAAAAAATGATACTTCTTGAAAAAAATCTGCATTTCAATTTCAAAAAGTTTCATAAAGTAATTTAATTTAATGTTCAAAAAGTATCATAATAAGTTATAAATAAAAAAAAACAGATATTTTTTGACATTTTTTTCGTTGATAATAATAGTTCTAGTTTCACCTGTTTTCATATGTGCACTTTATCAAGACACACTGTATTATGATTAAAAGCTTGTCGCGAGATTCACTTGTATAAAAAATATATACATTAATTACATAAATCTTGCTAAAAGTCTGAACTGAGAAAAAATTCAAATAGGTAAATATTATGTACTACGTACCTACTGTCTTAATCTCGCGACAAGCTTTGAGTCAAATAAATTGAGTAAAGTAAATAAGTTGATGGGTTTGAAAGAATTTATATTTTATTTTATTCTTTCTAAAGCATTAAAAGCTTGTTTTTGAAAACTATTTTTTATTAATTTATTTTTTATTAATTTGCGCCGAATTGCCACTTCTTATCTCTCGAACCTGCTTTTGTGCCGTCATATCGTGTCATGTAATGTCAAACTTTAACCATAGATGGCGTTGGGCGTTACTTGACTCGCGATTCGGTTTGATTTTTTCCAGATCTTAAGTAGGCCGGGGCTGTTTGGCTTCGTTATCATTTCAGTCCGCTGGACATAGGCCTCCCTAAGCCTAATAAGGCTAAGGAATTTTTGAAGCACTTCCCGCATTTTGAACATCTCGATGCGATGGTGCACATAAATACTTAAACGTCGTAACCTTAACCTTTTCAACGCCAATGACGGATACATGCGTACATCATTGACCGCCAACGGCGGATTAATCCGCCTTAAAAATGATGTCAGTAATAGTTGAGTATTATGTAAACTGAATAATAATGAAAACAATGATTAAATTGATATCATAATTTATCAAGCGTGGGTGGCGTCAGAGTGATGGCTTTTGTATTTAACGTGACGCTGAAAAGGCTAATAATTATGTTAACACGTAGGCTGCCATGACAGTCACCGGTGACTGACAAACATGCAACCTATTCGGGCCATGTCAGTCACTGGAGCCTGACACTGAAGCATCTAAATCAAACGACCGCAGTAGGCCGCCTGGCACGTTTAATGCGTTACTTCCTATTTTAAATGACTGACGTGGCCCCCAACTAAGTATGTTCAGCATGGCCTGCAACTCTTGTACCTAAATAAAAATTAACACAGGTTTGAATGAAAATTTTAGTAAAAACACGACAAATATTTGAAATTCTTAATAAAATCACAAGTTTACGATATATTTCGGAATAAATTATTAAGCATAATTATTAAAATTATTATTTGTGTAAAAAATTTTCTTAATAAAATCACAAGTTTACGATATATTTCGGAATAAATTATTAAGCATAATTATTAAAATTATTATTTGTGTAAAAAATTGAAACATTACAGACAAAAATTAGGCTGATTAGGGCTTTGAAGAGAGTAAGTTATAACTTGCTGTCTTTCTCGACTTTACACGACCGAAATTTGACAGTTGACCGACAGCAACCGGACAGAGCGATAGTATTCACGAGGGCTAAAGCGAGGAAAGCGATGCGACACGGTAGTTCCCGCCAAAACGCAGAAACGTGATTTTGTTGTGCCTGACAAAATGCTTGACATGGCGCTGTGACTGAAATTTATACCATTCGGGCCGCGTCAGGCACGGGTGGCTGACAGTTTTTTTTATGGGTATAATATGTCAATATAAATAGTAAAAAAATATTTTTTAACAATAACTATTCATTTCAAGCCATTACACATCGATTAGCAAAAAATTCAATTTTAGCGAATTAGTAAATTTACTTTGGCAGTCAACGTGTTAAGGTATTTATATTAAAACATGTTACAATATACTCCTATACCTAGTTTTTATCCTACAGTTTCAGCTCAATGGTAGACCGGGAAGTGGGTCAATTTTAAGTTGCAAGATTTGACGACAGACAAGGCACCAGACATGTGAAAGCAAAAAAAAGTTTGTAATAAATAGCCTGTCGTACCTGTTCAATGAAGAGATAAGGAAAAAAAACAATCTTACAGATGCGTCTTAAATGGAAGTGGGCTGGACATATTTCCAGATACACTGGAGGAAGGTGAACACTAGAAACAACAAAATGGGACCAGCTGGTAAAAGAAAAACAGGTAGACCACGAAAACGATGGTCAGATGACATCGTCGAAACTGCCGGCACCAACTGGATGAAAGTCGCACAGGAGAAAAATGGCAAAAGATGGAGGAGGCTTTTATCCAAAAGGGATCCGTATAATTAATTAATTAACTTGAAATGTAAAACTTATATTGTAACTTGAAGTATGGATAGATAAATAGCTTTATTATTATTCTTATTTATACTAAAGTACAGTAGTACACATTTAATAAGGCGCGTCGTGAATCTTCGGCCACGCAGACAAGGACAAAATTTTTCCGATTATGTTCCCCGTCGCACTTGCGCAAGCCCCGCCCATTTCATAATTACACTGCAGGCCAATTGTAACGGAATTATGGGGAGTAAAATATTTATCTTTTTGCCAAAAAAAGTTTAATAGAGTATTTAAATAAATTAATAGACTTCTTAAAAAACAAATTATAAATACACTTGTGGTGCCCGTCGTTGTTCCCGATTTCCATGACACAAGTGCTTTTGCTACATACTTTGGGATCGATCGGAGCAATGTACGCGTCTAATATGTATTTATTTATTTACTAGCTTTTGCCCGCGGTTTCACCCGCGTGAGAATTAGTTCGTCATAAATTATAGCCTATATTATGTTATTCTGGGTTATAAACAATAATACTGTAAAGTTTCATCAAAATCCGTTCAATAGTTTTTGCGTGAAAGAGTAACAAACATCCAGACATCCAAACTTTCGTATTTATAATATTAGTAGGATTATTTTTGTGGGATGTATTTAATCCATAATTTAGAAATGTTAATATTTGCATGCTACATATAATTGTAGCGAATTACGATAATGCACTTTATTTTATTTATCATAACATCTTTAATATACTGTACTCTACTAAATGGCAAATAAATATTTGAATTTCCGAATGTGAGAAGAGTGAATTTCTTAATAAAATCACAAGTTTACGATATATTTCGGAATAAATTATTAAGCATAATTATTAAAATTATTATTTGTGTAAAAAATTGAAACATTACAGACAAAAATTAGGCTGATTAGGGCTTTGAAGAGAGTAAGTTATAACTTGCTGTCTTTCTCGACTTTACACGACCGAAATTTGACAGTTGACCGACAGCAACCGGACAGAGCGATAGTATTCACGAGGGCTAAAGCGAGGAAAGCGATGCGACACGGTAGTTCCCGCCAAAACGCAGAAACGTGATTTTGTTGTGCCTGACAAAATGCTTGACATGGCGCTGTGACTGAAATTTATACCATTCGGGCCGCGTCAGGCACGGGTGGCTGACAGTTTTTTTTATGGGTATAATATGTCAATATAAATAGTAAAAAAATATTTTTTAACAATAACTATTCATTTCAAGCCATTACACATCGATTAGCAAAAAATTCAATTTTAGCGAATTAGTAAATTTACTTTGGCAGTCAACGTGTTAAGGTATTTATATTAAAACATGTTACAATATACTCCTATACCTAGTTTTTATCCTACAGTTTCAGCTCAATGGTAGACCGGGAAGTGGGTCAATTTTAAGTTGCAAGATTTGACGACAGACAAGGCACCAGACATGTGAAAGCAAAAAAAAGTTTGTAATAAATAGCCTGTCGTACCTGTTCAATGAAGAGATAAGGAAAAAAAACAATCTTACAGATGCGTCTTAAATGGAAGTGGGCTGGACATATTTCCAGATACACTGGAGGAAGGTGAACACTAGAAACAACAAAATGGGACCAGCTGGTAAAAGAAAAACAGGTAGACCACGAAAACGATGGTCAGATGACATCGTCGAAACTGCCGGCACCAACTGGATGAAAGTCGCACAGGAGAAAAATGGCAAAAGATGGAGGAGGCTTTTATCCAAAAGGGATCCGTATAATTAATTAATTAACTTGAAATGTAAAACTTATATTGTAACTTGAAGTATGGATAGATAAATAGCTTTATTATTATTCTTATTTATACTAAAGTACAGTAGTACACATTTAATAAGGCGCGTCGTGAATCTTCGGCCACGCAGACAAGGACAAAATTTTTCCGATTATGTTCCCCGTCGCACTTGCGCAAGCCCCGCCCATTTCATAATTACACTGCAGGCCAATTGTAACGGAATTATGGGGAGTAAAATATTTATCTTTTTGCCAAAAAAAGTTTAATAGAGTATTTAAATAAATTAATAGACTTCTTAAAAAACAAATTATAAATACACTTGTGGTGCCCGTCGTTGTTCCCGATTTCCATGACACAAGTGCTTTTGCTACATACTTTGGGATCGATCGGAGCAATGTACGCGTCTAATATGTATTTATTTATTTACTAGCTTTTGCCCGCGGTTTCACCCGCGTGAGAATTAGTTCGTCATAAATTATAGCCTATATTATGTTATTCTGGGTTATAAACAATAATACTGTAAAGTTTCATCAAAATCCGTTCAATAGTTTTTGCGTGAAAGAGTAACAAACATCCAGACATCCAAACTTTCGTATTTATAATATTAGTAGGATTATTTTTGTGGGATGTATTTAATCCATAATTTAGAAATGTTAATATTTGCATGCTACATATAATTGTAGCGAATTACGATAATGCACTTTATTTTATTTATCATAACATCTTTAATATACTGTACTCTACTAAATGGCAAATAAATATTTGAATTTCCGAATGTGAGAAGAGTGAATGCTGAATCTATTAATGAATTGTGAATGTGTAGATGTACGGAGATTGGAGGCTCACAAAAATAAAACACTTTTTTGCCACTAAGTGTACTTTTGTCTGCAACGCGTCTACGCACTCTAGAGTATGGCGGCTGACTAACATGTGTCACAGCGCGCGCAAACATGACGCGGCGACGGACCAATACCGGCACAGGAAGAAGACGCGCCGTGCGTGGAGTATCCCGATTGGTCAATAGCATTTCCCGCGCTACTTAAATTCGTCTTCTGCGCAGGTACATCGGTGAGCCTTATTAATTGTGTACTACTGTACGGTCGCCGAGCACGTAGGATTTCGTCCAATGACCCCGAGCTACCAATTCTTATCGCTCGCGCATAATTATATTGCTGTCGCGCTCGCATACTCACTACGGCCGCCCGTCGCACAGTCGCGAAAGCAATAAGGATGGGTAGCTTGGGGTCACTGGGCGACCGTACTTCATGCGTATCTCGATGTTTTCTGATGCCATCGGTGTTTTATTATTACCTGTTCGATGAGCTCCTTCAGCTTGTGGAGCTTGTCGTCGGCTTCCGCGCGGCGGCGCTCCAGGTCTTCCTGCATCATCTTCACGGCGCGGTACTTGGACCGGCTCATCGGGTCCATTTCTTCTACGTTCTTCACTGTAACACAGCGAAATGTTGAGAATGACAGATTGGTTATGTTATTTAGAGACCACTGTTATTACTCGATAAAGGTTTCAGCTGAACGCGTAGAGGACGTAGCTAGATATGTGAGGAGTGAATTTGTTACTTGTGCTATTCTTCTCAGTAGTGTTGCCGATCGATAGTCTATCGATAGCCAAACTATCGCAAGACTATCGATAGGCCTATCGATAGCTCAAAACGAGGCAATACTATTGAATATGTGCAATACTATCGATAGTCTTGTTGCTCGTGAAGAATAAACTATCGATAGTATCGACAGTATCGATATTATCGATAGGCCTATCGATGGAGAAGGCTTTTTCGAATGAAAACTATCGATAGTTCGGCAACACTACTTCTCAGCACTGCCCTATTTGTATTGTCCCAAAGAAGTAGAATCGTAAAAATAATACTGGGGCGTGTAAAAGTGCTTTTTTAAAAGCTTTCTTGCAAATAATAAATGTTTTATGAGTAGTTTTTGGGAGGGGCGTGTCACGACGTATTATAAAACAAAGTCGCTCGCTGTGTCTGTCCCTATTTATGCTTAGATCTTTAAAACTACGCAACGGATTTTAATGCGGCTTTTTTTTTAAATAGATTGATTGATTCAAAATGAAGGTTTTTAAGCACGAGTATAAAACATTGCACCTGTGCAAAGCAGTCACTAGTTCACTAATAAAAAATAGTCGTTTATACTCACAGTAGCTTTCGATATTAGACATCATCTTCTGCCCCTCATCAGCAAGCTTGGGCAGCGACTGCGCCCACTCCTTGCTGGCGCCAAGCTCGGAGCCAAACTTGGACATGATGTCCAGAGTGTTCTTCACTGTGGCGTTCACGCGGTCTGCCTTGTCTATTTCTTCTTGCAGAGCGAAACTGGGGGGCGTTGGTAGCGAACTGGAGATAGAAAGTTTTGTTTTTATTTTAATCTGGAAGCTCACGAGGAGTGTTAAATGTTAGGTATGCCTATGGGGATTTGGGAGACGTAGAACAGATAAATATTTTGCTGGTACCAAAACAGTCAGTTATTCTTGGGCACTCAAGTATTGATTTGGTTTCAATGGAGGTCAAACATGAACCTGGCTGTAGGAGTCACTGTCATTGAAGTGGAAATGAGAGGTCAATAGTCCACAGATTTTTAGTGTTGTTGTAACAGCCGAAAAACCTATTATTGACAAATATGTATATTTTAAAGACTCTAAATCCTTGAAAAAGAGGCTGACAATAGTGTCTGAGTTTCTTGCGCTGCTTCTTCTTAGCACTGGCTGGCTTACAAAATTTACATTACAGCTGCGCTGCAGCGTCCTGCAGGGCGGCCTGGGCGGAGCTGTGCGGAGGCGCGGCCGCTGCGAGCGGGCGGTACTCACAGCTGGATGGCGTCGTCCTGCAGGAAGGCGGCGTCGAGCGCCCGGCGCGCGTCCTGCAGGGCGGCCTGGGCGGAGCTGTGCGGAGGCGCGGCCGCTGCGAGCGGGCGGTACTCACAGCTGGATGGCGTCGTCCTGCAGGAAGGCGGCGTCGAGCGCCCGGCGCGCGTCCTGCAGGGCGGCCTGGGCGGAGCTGTGCGGAGGCGCGGCCGCTGCGAGCGGGCGGTACTCACAGCTGGATGGCGTCGTCCTGCAGGAAGGCGGCGTCGAGCGCCCGGCGCGCGTCCTGCAGGGCGGCCTGGGCGGAGCTGTGCGGAGGCCGCAGCCCCTGCTCCACGTCCTGCAGCGCCGCGGCCGCGCGCGTCAGCAAGTCCTGCGAGCGGTTGCGGGCGGGACCCACGCGCTCGTTCAACACGTTTTTCTGCGATAAAATGATGAGGTGATGAGAATATTTTCGGCGAGCTTTAAAGACTACATCAACTGTTTGATAATAGTCAGTACTAAGACGACAGAAGCAGCTGCCTATCCGACGGCAGAAAGGTTGCCATTGCTGACGAAACCGATGGCGATCATATATTGTCGCTGTCTGTGTAACGAGTGTTTAACTAGCGTTGCGTACTCATTCCACATTGTAAGGCCCGGGTTCCGGTTTCCACCAAGGCGGAGCGGAACGGAGCGGAGTGAAGAAATGTTTGAATAACCAATCAGATTTTTTTCATCCACAGAAAGGAAGCTCTTGGCCTGTAGATTGAATGATATTGAAGGCTCCCACAGACCAAACGCGGGTCAGAAGCAGTGCGGGTCAGTTGCAGCGCGACTGAGGCACACCGAAAGCAGCGCAGTTTCAAAGCAGTAGCAACGCGGGCGGTTGTCAAAAATTTAAATATTCGAAAACCGCTTTCAACGCGCTGCTACCGCCCTGCGTCCGGTGTATCATGCTAATAATAATATGGCTGCCATAGTAATACAACAGCGCGGGCCCGCGCTCGCGCCGTTTCTGTCCCGCACCCGCGCCGCCTTGTTTGTCGTTCGGCAGTTGTAGTGCGGCGCGGCTGGAGCGCGGGCCCGCGTTCAAATTTGGTGTGACACACTTCAGAGTTTCTTATGTTACAACTTGCACGGGCCCGCATTCAAACTGCGCTGCTACTGCCCTGCGTTTGGTCTGTGGAGGCCTTAACAGAATGCAATCTCATTGTTCATTTAAAACATTTCTTCTTTGATGGAAACTGGGCCTAAAGTGTCTATTTGGATTTTGGTGAGAATATTGGGCATATTATATTATCTAGTGGCGTCCTTCAAGTGTCGTATAACGTATTGTCGGGCTGGACTACTCACGACAGCGGTGGCGTTGTTGTCGGCGGCTTCGGCGGTGTCGGCGGCCAGCTTGGCGTCGGCGATCTCCTGCACGATGGACGAGAACGCCGACGCGGCGCTGTACGCGTCCTGCGTGCGAGTGTTGTTGTTCTCGCGCGCTGCCACCGTGCGTAGATTGTCAGCCTGGATGTCACGAAAATAATTACTATCAATGAATAAATACAACGTGCTCTTTTTGATTTCCTGGAACTCTACAGTATTAATAATACCACTTCAAAGAATGGAATGGCATTATATTTTTTGTTAAATTCAACAATTTTTTTCGACTTTCGTTTTTCATACGAAATTATTTAAAAACTTAATTTTTCACTGAAATAATTCATAATTTACATACACTTATCAATAAAAAGTCTGCACAAAAAGACTAGGTGAAAAAAAAAAACTAGATTGATGATACTATAATCTTCTAAATTTAGAATCCACAATATCTTCAAAAATATACTTTTAGAAACACATATTCCTAAGACTCTTTAACTAGTTTTTATTTAAAGAATATACCCCTAAAATTTCCGGAAAACAAAAGGAGCACGTTGTTTAATCGCAAGGTAGACGTAACATTAACATTCAAAAGTCATCCAATAAAGAAGACATTGATGTTCGTGTCTCTGTTCGCTGCAAGCAACTGGCCGTTTCAGAGGGCTGAGTGTGAGTTTATTTCAAACGTGCTCACTAGTGAGTGTGTCAAAAAACTTACACTAAATGTATGACGAATTGTATAGCGCCCCTAGCGGGAAACTATCACAAACTAAAATTTTCCGTTTGATGTAAACTCACACTCAGCCCACACTATTTCTAAGACTGTTGTCGTGGTCATATGCGTCGTTCAAGACATATATAGCATGTTTATGTTCGCGTCTCTATTCTTTTCAAGAATGGTGGCTGCTTCGGACGTCGTGAGCGTCCTGGCCACTTAGGAAGCGACGTCCGACTGGGGCAGACCCAAAGGACGAAGGAAGTGTCTAAGATGTAAGTTAGTTCCTTACCCGGCTCCTGAGACTGCTGGCGTGGTCTTGGACTTCATTGAGGGCCTGCTGCAGCGCCGGCATTTCCTTCATCAAGTTATTAAGCCTTTCGTCCATGTTGATGTTTGCATTTCTATTCCCCGTGAGCGCCCTGGCCGCTCCAGAAGCGACGTCCGACCGACTGGGGCAGACCCAAAGGACGAAGGAAGTGTCTAAGATGTAAGTTAGTTTCTTACCCGGCTCCTGAGACTGCTGGCGTGGTCTTGGGCTTCATTGAGAGCCTGCTGCAGCGCCGGCATTTCCTTCATCAAGTTATTCAGCCTTTCGTCCATGTTGATGTTTGCATTTCTATTCCCCGTGAGCGCCCTGGCCGCCCCGGAAGCGACGTCCGACTGGGGCAGACCCAAAGGACCAAGGAAGTATCTAAGATGTAAGTTAGTTCCTTACCCGGCTCCTGAGACTGCTGGCGTGGTCTTGGGCTTCATTGAGGGCCTGCTGCAGCGCCGGCATTTCCTTCATCAAGTTATTCAGCCTTTCGTCCATGTTGATGTTTGCGTTTCTATTCCCCGTGAGCGCCCTGGCCGCCCCGGAAGCGACGTCCGACGCTGACAAGTTGGCGACAGCGGCCACTTCTTCCGCTGCGTCGATTAAGTCCTTCATGGCTGCCTCGTTCAGTTTCGTGACGGAGAGAACTTTGTTGCCGAATTTGGATTGCCTGAGGATGGGTGAAAGTTTTCATAAGATGGATGTGGATAAATATTTTTGTATTATGGGTATTAATATTGTTGTTATTCGGTTAAAGATTTTTATTATTCTCAAAGATTTACATAAAATCACTTATGAGATAATACATCTATTACTCTACATTTAAAAGCTACATATAAATAACTTTTTAGTAATTCAATGTTGCTTAATTCGTTTCGGCTACTCTTCTGGTGTACCTCATGCCAATGAACAATTGGTCACTATACGTGGAAATGACATATCAAGTTTAAAAGATTGTAATTCGATCATGGATGATCGAATTACCAACCCACTCCCCACATAATAATTATTTAGTTTGCCTAGAAGGGATTAGTGTGAGTTTACATCAAAAGTCCTCACTAGTGAGCGCGTTAAAAAGATATATGAAAATTTTAGTTCTTGAAAGTTTCTGCTAGGGGCGCTGTAATCCGTCATACATACGTCATTTTTTTACACGTTCACTAGTGACGACAATTGACAAGTTTGTAATTTTTTCTTTTAATAAACCTTGAAAATATAAGTAAAACTAATAATAATTGTGAAAGAATCATGAAAATATATCAACAAATACAAAAGTTATAGGGTCCTAAAGTTGTGCATAACAAATATTGGCACCATTTTGATCGGTGTAGTCACGACAGTACATTCGGAGTACAAACAGTAAAAAAATGTTTTCAACATCACGAAACTTCTCCATTGATGTAATCTCACAGTACGCCCCGTGATTGTAATACACTCGGCATCAAATAAATCGCACCTCCCGCGACAAGCCACTTATCAAACGTATGCATCCCCACTTCCCACCAACATTGGTACCGTTTGAAAGCCTAGTTCTAAACTTAATTTCATTAAAGGAAAGGTTTTTACCCCAAAAATGTGTCTTTACAAGGATCCAGAGTCACTTCTTCAAAAAATAGGTAGTTACGCTATAGCCATTTTTTATGACTATAAAACTGTTAAGTTGGGATTAATCGCTATCCATCTGTTAAAGAGGACACGTGAGATCTTTATTTGGTTTCATAAGCATAACAATTGGTCTAATTGATCCCAGAGGTGAGCCCAAAGTGAGGTCTATTTTCAAGTCACATTTATGGTATATGATAATCATTTATTTAGAAATGAAAAATGTATTTTTCTTTAAGGATATTTATTGGGCTTTCAGATAACACCAATATTGTTGGGGTACCATGATTGTGTCAGAAGAAAATCTTTAAAGTTCGCGTCGCGGAAGGTGCGGTTTATTTGATGTTGAGTGTAATTACATTAAATCATCAACGACATACCGGTTCCTCTCGTTAGACTTGTCGGCGGCGGCAGCGGTGTGTTGCGCGCGGTCCGTGTACTCCAGGAGATCCTCAAGCTTTTCCTTCAGTGCGTGCGTTGCGTTCACCAGACGTTCGAATTTCTAAGGCGAAGCGGGGCATAGAATAAGAAAAATATAATAAAAAGAACTTTTTTAAAAACAAGCTTTATTCTGAAATGCTGTTGTACTAAAACGAAAAAAAATATTATAATTTTATTTTACACTTTTTAGTATCTCAATCAATGTGTCCTGCTGGTGATCATTTGGCACTAAAGTGCTCGAAAAGACAAATCCAACGAACCCAAACTCGATGAGTTTCCGCTGTTTCGTTTAGGAGTTCCCATGGCCACCTACTGACTCCGTCATCAGACCAGCTCAATGGTACCATAACATTGCATTAACATCGTACTTACATAAGTATACCAAATTTCAGCTCAATCGGTTGAGAACTGGTCTTAATTTCAGTTGCAAAATTTGTCCCACACATACTAACAAGTGAAGTCAATATAAAGCTTGTAATAATAATAAAAATAGACCTTCTAGCGTACAGATAACGCGTGAAGTAAGTCAATAATTTGCCTACTTTTATGAAGTTTGCCTTTTTGCAAAAATTGAAACAAAGCATGATGATTATACAGGGTGGAATTTTGTAATGCCACCTGGAGGAAAAGTACTCTTAATAATGTAGATAGAAAATTCTACTCAAAGAAAACATTCCTTTATTTTTGAAAATAAATAGAACTGCATTCAAAGATTTCCGAAAATTTTTCGAAAATTCTCTACCATGCCATACAATTTTCTGTAAATAGTTAAAATAATGTAAGATTTCATGGTTTTCCTTTCACTTGATTAATTAAGTTTGTTAGAGAGATTTCATCCTTATACCTCACCCTAACGATCGATGCAATAAAAATACAGGGTGTAATTTTTAACAGATTTTAGTTGGTTCGATTCCTGGGTATGGCAAGCAAATTTTGGAAAATCTTTGAATGCAGTTCTATTTCTTTTAAAAAATAAAGGAATGTTTCCTTTCAGTAAAATTTTCTATCTACAATATTAAGAGTACTTTCCCTCCAGGTGGCATTACAAAATTCCACCCTGTATACTAGTAACTCAAAATCCAAAGATAGTTTAGCTTTTTCATTAGTTCTGTTTTTCGTGTAGAAAACTTTGTACCCACCGATTCAAGGGCGATCAGTGGTTTTGTATAGCCCTCAACCTTGCAATAAGGTCTGAAGTCCTGAACACAAATAACCACACAGTGTCCACCGGTGCAGTTATTTGATTTAGGATCAAATCTTAACAGTTTCCTCAACTAAGGGTGGATTCGACCGAATAAGAGTAAATATTAATCATCAGAATAAATCGTCAGTTATTCGACATTTTGACATATTTCCCATACTGAAACTGTCAATGTGCCAGCTATACCATGAGTTATTCTCGGATAAAAGTTTGGTCGAATCGGGCTTTATTCTACTAATTATGTACATGCGCAGTCGCGCAAACTTAACCATACGTATTCGTTGTACCTTAGCTTGCTTGTTGACGGGCTCGATGAAGATGTTCATGCGCTCGATTTGGGCAGTCGCGTTGCCGAAGCCGCTGTTGGCTTGCAACAGTTGCGGCTGTAGGTTCTTTTCTGTGGACAGAATGACATGCGATCGGTTATACACGGTTTTATACCCCTTGGTTATATAGAGGTGAAAACTATAGGCTTTGACCAACTACACTGTATCTATGCAATTTATATATTTGTAAGCTGTTTGTTTTCTGAATAAAATAAAATAAAATAAAATAAAACAACTGTGGACTGCCATTTTTCCATATTAAAATTCACACGTATATTATGAATTTTTATTCATGCATGACGGTTTCTTCCACCAATGCTGAGAGGTGCGGAGACGAGAGATGTGCGGCGAAGCTGGCAGTCTATTTCCACCAATACGGAGCGGAGAAAAGTGGAGTGGTGCAGAAAGGAGAGGAGATGTGTGAGATGTGCGTAGCTGTGAGCTGCTCAAAAAACTTCTCTGCTCCTCTCCTTGCCGCTCTGCCTTGATGGAAACTAGGTGGAACTCTAGAGCAGGGTTCCCAATTTTTTTTTGCCAAGGAACCCTAATTAATTATACTTTTCCTAGCGGAACCCCCGTACTACTCCGCCCGCACGCCCTTCCCCTCCCTTGTGCGTAAACAAGTCGGTGCGAGCGAACAACGTCGGTCACGAAACGTGGGATAATATTTTTTACGGAACCCTTGCGGCCTTTCCACGGAACCCCAGGGTTCCGCGGACCACCTTTCGGGAACCGCTGCTCTAGAGCACTATTGCCTTAAATTGAAGAGCTTATTCGTGACCCTAGTAGGCTACCGTCAGTCGCAGGATCGACGGCTCTCGTGATCTGCTTATCGCTGTCTGTGGCTGCAAACTCCTCATTTTAATAAAAACTTACCAGCAATGTCAAACTTGATATGTCGCACATTTATCAGCCTTCGGTTTCTGAGTTAGAACCCAGTGAAACCAGGTCAGTGACGCCACCACTCCGAGTTTAGGAATATAGTTCGTATGCTGAAGGTATTAGAGTAGCTTTTGCATAACTAACCAGCAATATCAGACTTGATCTGTCTCGTCTCTGCCAGCGCAGCTAAGTCGATGACGTGCGCCACCACGCTTTTGGCTTTGTCGCGCACTGAAGCTAAGGTCTTGTCCGCGTCTCTTGCCAGCTCAGCTGCTCTTGTGATCTGCTTGTCACTATCTGCTGCTAGAAACCCCGCCTATAGTGAATAATAATAACTTACCAGCAATGTCGGACTTGATCTGTCTCGCCTCTGCCAGCGCGCTATCGGCCTTCGGTTGCTGGCTGAGTTCCAACCCAGTAGCTAAGTCGGTGACGTGCGCCACCACGCTTTTGGCCTTGTCGCTGCTGTCGCGCACTGAAGCTAAGGTCTTGTCCGCGTCTCTTGCCAGCTCAGCTGCTCTTGTGATCTGCTTGTCACTATCTGTTGCTGTAAACTCCGCCTATTATAGTGAATAATAATAACTTACCAGCAATGTCGGACTTGATCTGTCTCGCCTCTGCCAGCGCAGCTAAGTCGATGACGTGCGCCACCACGCTTTTGGCTTTGTCGCGCACTGACGCTAAGGTCTTGCCCGCATCTGTTGCCAGCTCGGCTGCTCTTGTGATCTGCTTGTCACTATCTGCTGTTGTAAACTCCGCCTATAGTGAATAATAACTTACCAGCAATGTCGGACTTGATCTGTCTCGCCTCTGCCAGCGCATCTAAGTCGATGACGTGCGCCACCACGCTTTTGGCTTTGTCGCTGCTGTCGCGCACTGAAGCTAAGGTCTTGTCCGCGTCTCTTGCCAGCTCAGCTGCTCTTGTGATCTGCTTGTCACTATCTGTTGCTGTAAACTCCGCCTATTATAGTGAATAATAATAACTTACCAGCAATGTCGGACTTGATCTGTCTCGCCTCTGCCAGCGCATCTAAGTCGATGACGTGCGCCACCACGCTTTGGCTTTGTCGCGCACTGAAGCTAAGGTCTTGTCCGCGTCTCTTGCCAGCTCAGCTGCTCTTGTGATCAGCTTGTCACTATCTGCTGTTGTAAACTCCGCCTATAGTGAATAATAACTTACCAGCAATGTCGGACTTGATCTGTCTCGCCTCTGCCAGCGCGCCATCGGCCTTCGGTTGCTGGCTGAGTTCCAAGCCAGTAGCTAAGTCGGTGACGTGCGCCACCACGCTTTTGGCCTTGTCGCTGCTGTCGCGCACTGAAGCTAAGGTCTTGTCCGCGTCTCTTGCCAGCTCAGCTGCTCTTGTGATCTGCTTGTCGCTGTCCGTTGCCGCGAACTCCGCCTATAATTTATGTGAGTAAATAAACAACTTAGAATGTTAAGTCCATCATGTTTTCACAAGTGAAGAGAAATGATTCAGGGGTCAGTAGTGGAAAATATGCACTAAGGAAGGGGTAGTGATAATTCACTGAGACAGTGATCCGCGCACTGCACCTGACGTGAAATTAAACAAATGCATGCCAAAACGAGTCTATCTATATTAAAGCGAAAGGTCACTGACTGACACACTCACTCATCACGAAATCTCAGAAACTACAAGTGCTACGAGTCTCAAATTTTGCATGGGAGTTTCTTTTAGAACGTAAGGTGCTCACTAAGATCGAATTTTACGAAAATGCACCCCTAAGAGGGTAAAACGGGATACACGCGTACGGATTCGGCCACTAGTCTGCTTATAATAAACATAATATTATCTGAAATAAACATATTATTATAAGACCCGCCCCGACACTGTGGTAGGAGTAGTGGGGTAACTCGATGACATTCTGTGCACGTTTTACTAGCGCCATCTTGCGCCGTCTCTTTCACCATCATTATTTTACTTGTATTAGACTATTTGACATCATTCTCCTAATAATACGAATAAAAATACAATTATTTTATTTAAACAAACACATCGTTTAGACATATACATTTAAATACAATTAAAAAGAATAGTGTCAACATTATTAAGTAAACATTAAACTGCTTTGTCTGCTGCATATAGATGTCCTACACTGAACCGTCCTGTGACACTGACAGGGGGGCGCTACTGTAAATACTAGATTGTTGGTTCCGATTTTTGCCACGTTGGAAAATACTGAAATGCCATTTTCAGGAGGGCGCTGCTATCAATGCTGAGTTACTATTTCCGATTTTTGCCATTTGACGTTTTAAGATCGCTCAACTATACGTCAATTGATTGGTGGTGTCAAATAGTCTATTATTATTTTAGTATTGTACTTTCGGTCGTCAAGTTTTTATTTTGTATGTAAGCTGTATTTTACCTATAAAGACACATCTTTTGGTCTTGTCATCATTGCATTTTAATTGCATGCATTACTTGTTTGTGTAAAGATGTGTTGTTGGTAGATCTTTGTCAATAAATACTACTATCCCATCAAAAACAATACTTGTCAAAAAAACCAAGTCTCGCAACTCAGTTGTTCTACGGTAAAAAGTTGTGAGATCCATGTAATACCAAGTCCAGGCCAGGAAATCTTTAACGTTTTACATAAATATATTGACTTGGCCATCGCACTAAATAATTTAATTTACACGTGTTTTCATGCGATGGCCAAGTCAATATATTTATGTAAAACGTTAAAGATTTCCTGGCCTGGACTTGGTATTACATGGATCTCACAACTTTTTACCGTAGAACAACTGAGTTGCGAGACTTGGTTTTTTTGACAAGTATTGTTTTTGATGGGATCTTATTTCTTTTTGTATTTTGTAGACAGCAGTTATGTATCTAGAAAACTGGACCGAAATTGAAAAATTTTACTCGACTTGGCGGTTGCACTACCGTGCCCCCAAATATTTTAGTTTTTCCTTGATTCATACACCAAACACTACTTATATTCCAAATTTGAAGCTTCTAGGTCTGCTAGAAGTGCCTTAGAGTTTTGATGATCGGTGAGTCAGTGAGTGAGTCAGTGAGTCAGTGAGTCAGTCAGTGAGTGACAAAATTAAGTAACTTTGACCCGTTATAATTCTTAAACTACTGGTTCAAATTGAATGAAATTTTAAATATACCGTGTCTTTACAATGCCTGCATATCTAATGAAAATTCAGCCTTCTAGTTTTATCCACAACGAAGTTACAAGCGGTCGAAAATGGCCTGAATTGCTTCGAGAAAAGGATGGTACGGCCGTGCCGCTTTTTTGCTCGACTTGGTGGGGGCACTGCCGTGCCCCCAGATTATAAATGCTAAAGTTTGTATGGATGTCTGGATATCAACATGATTTTTACTCTTTCACGCAAAAACTACTGAACGGATTTCGACGAAACTTTACAGTATTATTGCTTATAACCCAGAATAACATATAGGCTATAAATTTATGACGATATGTGTTCAATAAATAAGTAAGACGTGAGAAATATTTACAAAAAAGCGCCATCAATCAACATTGCTTTTGACGTTCGTAAATATCAATGCGGACGACGAAGCCGTGCAACGCCATCTATCAAGCGCTGTTCAAACTATTGCTTTTGACGTTCGTAAATAATATTGAATTTTTATGAGTTAAAGAAAAGAAATTTTATGTATTTGAATCACAGTGTACCATTGGTTAAAACGGGGTAAAACGGGGTCCACGCGTACAAAGTCGCGGGCGGCCGCTAGAAAATAAATAAATAAATAAATTAGTGACTTACTGAACGCAGTAGGTTCTTGGCGCCGCTCTCGAGCGCCTTGAAGGCGGCGGTGACGTCATCCAGGTCAACTTCCGTCAGCTCCGCCACTCGAGGTCGCAACAACTGCGTCTGATTCGCGATGTAGTTCAGCCGCTGGGTCGTAAAGAACGAATCCGCTTTGTCCTGGACAATATAAGTTTGTTGAAAATCAAAATGTAAAGATCTCAAAATCAAAAGAACAATGAAACATTTTCTATGAACTCCGTCCCCAGAACTGTAGCACTTTAATACATTTTCATATATGTATTTTATTATATGACAGCTCAAGTCTGATATGTCTCAGAAAAAAGTTATGACAAAAAATAAAAAATCATAATCAACCCTAAAAAAATACACATTGAATCACTTTTGACCAATTTAAAATGTTATCACGACAGCTCGACTCCGGGACAAATCGATTCCTGTGACAACTCAACCCCTGCGACAACTCGATTTTTTTAACGCTCAGCACTTTTCACTTACTTCAATTGGTTTCACGACTGCAGTGGACTCTACAACAGCTTAACCCTAAGACAACTCGAACCCTGCGACAGTTCTGGGGACGCTTTGTCTCATTGTTCTTTTCTTTTTTGAATTGAAACTTACAAATCACAAATCTTAAGGGGCCTTCACATGTCTCATTTTTGAGCCTACCGGTGCTTCCCGAAAAACATACAGTGCTTAGAAGAAGCTCCGCAACAAAGTCAGTCACCACTAAGTTGCCAGTCATTATTTAAAAAATCAAAATAAAGTAAGGGTAGCCGAATTCAAGTATATCAAATGTGCAGACTGAACTGACCACGCATCCAAATATGTGCAGACTGAACTGTCCACGCATCCTTGTCATTAATATAGTCTTGAACCTTGTAACCCTTTGGATATAAGGGTTGACATTCGACAAGGTTGTGTGGTATCTTGTTAAATATAGTAATACACTTCCCCAAGAATGAACTACCTATCTTATGCAACCCTGTTGCTGCGATGCTCGTAACTCGAAGCGGCGTGTTGATATTGCGAAGTAAAATGCTTTTTTAGGTAATTGCGTGTATTCTCAGTTACCAATAAATTCAAGCGTTAGGTCGTTACATATTTAAAAGCAAACAGTTAAGAATGATTTGACAAAACGTGTATTTTAAATTGGCGGGGCGGCTCAGTGGCGCCACCTCAATCTAGTATGTAATAAATTGTCTGTGCTATTAATGCCATGGTTATAACACCGACACGAAATAGCGTTACCGTTAACTACTTCGTTCGTTTTAGCCAAATGACGTCCACTGCTGGACAAAGGCCTCCTAAAAGGTTTTCGACAATGAACGGTCATGCGCTGCCCGCGGCTCTTTCCGCGACCTTCACCAGATCGTCGGTCCACCTAGTAGGAGGCCTGCCCACGACGTCTTTAAGCCCGTGGTCGCCACTCGAGAACTTTTATGCCCCAACGGCCATCGTCTCTACGAGCTATGTGCCCCGCCCACTGCCACTTGATTTTAGCAATTCTGCGAGCTATGTCGGTCATTACTAGACAAACCCAAAAGGTAAAATTTGCGGTGTTTTCTAAAGCTTATCTTATGGTACCTTGAAGTCCTGTGTTTCGTTGGCGAGGCGGCGCGAGAGGTCCTCGACGGTGAATATGAGCGCGTCCGTGCACTCGTCGCACTCCAGGCAGCCCTCGTGTGGGAGCAGCACCCATCTATTTATTTATTTATTGATGTATATCAACAACATACAAAGTAATCACATGAAAATCTTACTATAGAAGTTTAGTGTGTATGTATGCCAATAACAGGTACACACAGCTTTGGCTAATACACCGTGTTACTTTGCATTCTTGCCATATTCACAGAGATAAAAGTAGGGTACAATACCTATTATTTAAGATAAACAAGAGACTCCCATAAAGAAAGTACACTAAGATTTTAGTAAATTTGGTTTTTCAGTACAAATTGGAATAAACCCATTTTGTCTCGCACGTTCTACAGGTGCAAGTGGAATAAACCTAGTGGGCGTGGCCTAGTTCTTAATTTTATGGCTCTGGGTACCAGCCTTTTTATCCAGTCATAATACTTAATTATTTTAAAATACTCTTCAGTTGATTTCAGATTTTCCTTTCTACTTTACGGGCATAGGACCATCAAAAATACGTAATAATTATTAGGGTTTTAATTAATTTTAACATTGTACCCTATTTTTACAAATTAATAAATTAAGTATGAAATGAAATCACCTTATTCACAATTAATTATTTATTCATAAGTTCCTACTTACAAAGTTTACGTACTGCGAAGCAAGTGTTCAAAGTGTCCTCCTTTCTGATGAAGGCACAGTCTAGCACGGCGAAGCGTAGGTTTTTCGCTTTAGTTTTCGCAACACATAAACGTTTTGTCTCACAGTTTCACTAAAACAATCCTTTCATGTAATAATGTAGCGTTTACACTGTTTATCTCTTCTGCGCATACCAGTCGTTTCAAGTCACTCCAAAAATCCATTGGTGTCAGGTCCGAGGATCGTGGTGGCCAAGCTACTGGACCACTCGTCCAATCCACTGTTCACCAAACGTAATTATTCGCGCACTTGACGTCCTTATTGTGGGGGAGCACCATCTTGCTGGTAGTAGAGCATTTGGTGTAACGCTAAGGGTACGTCATCAAGCATTTCGTCTAAGACGTCTTGCAGACACTCCAAGCACCATTTTGATTAAATTATTCTTTGTTTGAATACACTTCAGACATTTTTGTATTATTTATAACGTGATTTGTGATTGATGAATTTCTCAGTTTTTTACAAGTGTCAAAAAGACATTTTAAAGACAATAGATTGCAATAGATATTTAAAAATACAATAAAAAGTAAAAAAGTCTTCATCGCCATCGCCAACAAGTGATGTGCATGCGTTACGATAATTAGTGATGTGTTTAACAGATTGTCGATAAAATAAAATACTCAAGATTAAAAAAAAAAAATTTCGGGCATTATTTTTTTACGGATTTGTGTTCAGTATCAGTAATATAGTAACCTCTGTAAATATGGCAAGAATGCAAAGTAACACCCTGTATACTTAGTTTATCATCATCAATACACTTAGTTAACCCACCTGGAACCATTACACGACTCTAGTTAACCCAGTCATAGATAAAAATATTTTTCAATATGTACGAAATCAGTAATCAGTCAATTAGTCTGAATAGTAAAATGGTGGTGTGCCACGGTATTACATAGAAACAGAAAACCTTATAAAATAAACACACACACACACACACACACTTTCAAATTCACACACTTGTGGCCTAGCACACACAGAAGAGCATAAAGTTATCGCACAGAAATCAAAATATTTTCATTAATTTCAAATGTGTATTCTTGCCGTAAGCAATAAACTCTAACCCATATAGAATCCATACCGGGAGTGGAGACACAGGCAATCTTTTCCTACATTAGACTCCAGTCTCCCACAATCTTAGTTGTAATCTAATAATAATCTAGTTGTACCAATAATCTTGTGTCTCCTCGCGCGATTCCAACAGCAAGGGCGCCGGTGGAAGATTAGCTTCGAATTAAAATAATCTTCCTTTTCCATACACAAACCATAAATAGTTTAGTTTGTCAAATGTACCTACTTGTTACCGTGGTATCAATAAATAATGTAACTTTCAATCTGTTATACTTCAACCACACCAACGCGGTGCACCAGTTTAATGCCTGTTTTCACCATCAATCCCTATTTTTTAAGTCACCACTATGAAAACAAAATTCCTTTTATGTGTTACCATAGGGGTCACTTAAAAATTAGGGATTGACGGTGAATATAAGCATAAGGCTCACCTCTCCGGGCAGCGGTCGCACTTCTCGCCGATGACGCCGGGCAGACACTCGCACTGGCCCGTCGCGTTGCACATGAAGCCAACGGAATAGCCCGTGTTGCAGTTGCAGTCTGTTACAACACAATCAAAAAATATTTACAGCCCACAGAATCGCTGAAATCAAGTGGCAGTGGGCGGGGCAAATAGCTCGCAGAGGCAGAAAAGTTCTCGAGTGGCGACCACGAGCCGGAAGACGTAGTGTAGGCAAGCCTCCCACTAGGTGGACCGACGATCTAGTGAAGGTCGCGGGAGGTGCCTGGCTTGCGGGCGGTGAAGGACCGGTCTTTGTGGAAATCCTTGAGGGAGGCTTTTGCACAGCAGTGGACGCCATTCGGCTGAAAAACCGACGAACGACAACACAATCGTCAGTACAGGATATTAAAAACTGAGCCACTACTTTTAGCCATTTGTCTTAAAAGCTCAATAGACCCATTATTCCTGTACATAGTGTTAATTGTGAAGAATCTAAAACGTTAAAATAACGTTGTGGCCAATGAGCTGTTGTCATAGTGACATTGACGTAATGTCAATGTCACGCTAGAATCAAACGTTAGAATAGCGGGACGCGTGGAGACGACACCGTGCGCTTTTGTGCTAAGTGATGAATTGTATTTATATTAAGGCAATATAATGTGAAAGCGTTTTATTTATAAGAAAAGATCTACCGGCCTCTAATAATAGATACTCACGGTCACATCCATCCTTGGAATAGTTCCAGTAGCCCGCAGCGCACTGCTCGCAGTGGCGGCCCGTCACTCCCTTAGCGCATCTGGAATATTGTGGACGTTACGGATAAGTGTCTTATGGTACTGTATGACTTTCAACACTCTTGCTTTGCTAAGTATCCGGGTCCATACCAGACGATCCATTACGAAACGACCCCACGATTCGCGATCCACGAACGCAAGCGTAGACTACAGGGGGCGTAGTATGAGTTTACGTCAAACGCATTCGATATCGACTGCGTTAAAAAAAATTATGAAGATTTTAGTACATCGCCCGTAGCGGAAACTTTCAAGAACTAAAATTTTGCTTCATAATAGGGTCGTCTTCGTGGAAACTAAGACACCCCCGCAGACAACAGACTTTTTGTCGGCCGATTTTTTGGTTGGGCTGTTAACCAGTATGAACATGTATGGCCGTGCACATATAACATTTATTTCGTATCGGCCGATTCTTCATACAAAGTGGAAGCCAACCCAACTATTAGCCAACTAAAAGTCTTTAGTCTCCGGGGTAATTCAAATTCAATATACGTACACCACAATTTTTTTATCACCAAAAAAAATTCTGGGTAATGAGTTATTGATGCTGATCCTATTTATGCAAAAAAAAGTTAAAAAAAGTTACTCAAAATTTCATCCTAAAATTGGTAGTTTATGGACACACGCGTCGCTAGCACTATTTACGTAAGATAATGTAACACTTATTAGAACTCAACATGGTCTAAGTTAGCTAAGTATGTTTAATAACACTGGAAGCCTGGTCGAGGCGTGAGCGAGACAGACAGATCGGGGCAATATGCGAGCGCGTACGACTACTCTAACGAGCAGCGGAGTGACCCAGCTGTGACGCGTAAAATACGGACTAAAGAAAATGTTTTAAAAAAATTAACTTTATGAAATAACCTGTTAAAATTTTTTCGGTGATAAAAAAATTGTGGTGTATTAATTATTCACAGCAAAATATATATTGCGTTAACTAAATGTTTTTTTTTTTATGTGATAGGAGGCAAACGAGCAGACGGATCACCTGATGGTAAGTGATTATCGTCGCCCATAGACACCCGCAGACCCAGGGGCGTTACAGGTGCGTTGCCGGCCTTTAAGGTAAAGATACGCTCTCCTCTTGAAAGCTTGCAGGTCGTATCCGTCCGGAAACACCGCAGACGACAGTCCATTCCACAGTTTGGTTGTACGGGGCAGGAAGTTTAGAAGTTTGTATTGGTATCTAAATGAGCTGATAACGATGATACATACTTGCACTGTCCAGTAGTCAGATCGCACTGCGAGTCCGTGGCGGCCAACGCGCAGTCGCACGGCGCGCAGCCCTGCCCGGACTCGAGCCCGTAGTGGTCGGGCGCGCATCGGTCGCAGCGCGGACCCACCACGCCCTCGCGACACACGCAAGTACCGGTGGACGGGTCGCAGCGCTCCATGCCTTGCTTGTCGCACGAGCACGCTGACAAATAAATAAATATCTAAAGTAAATACTTTTTACTTTAAGGTCTATGATTTGTCTATGACTTTAAAGTTTATCAAATGAATGTCACAGTGAAAAGTAATTGTGGAAAATATGAAGATATTTTAAGAGATAATATAAACTTTAAATGTCGTTTCTTTTATTTTACAGGTTTGTGTTATAGCCAATGAATGAAGAATTTAGTTTATTTCAATGAGAAATGTATTAATCTTGAATAAATCTTTTATTTTACAGAGCAACACATGTGTTTATTTTAGTATTTTATCTCTGAGAAAGAGTACGTCATAAATATATTAATATCCTTGGACATTTTACACTACGCGCAGTCCCAAACTAAGCAGCGCTTGTACCATCGGCAACAGTGTTAACTATCCATTGCCTGTCATGTCGTCTCGTTCCATCGCAAAGAATCGCTATTTGATGAGAGCGAGAGCAAAAACGGAAATGGATAGTTAACAGTGTGGCCGTGTGTACTATGGGCACTAGACAACGTATATGTATAAACATACTTAAATACTTTTTTTTGTAAATACATACATCTTCTTCTTTTCGTGTCGACAACAAACCTATATTATACATATAGTAACACCCAGACCCATCACAGAAATCAAAAATTCATCATTTCAATTTCTGCCCGGCCGGGAATCGAACCCGGGACCTCTCGGCATAGTAGTCGTTCCGAACCACTATACCAAACGGCCGACATAAATAAAGATAAACAATTTCAATAAGCAATACTGGACACTCATCAAGACATTCAATGGAGAAGTTTCATGATGTTGAAAACAGTATATTTCTCTGGATGGGATTAAAATATAGACCAAAACTAAATAGAAGGTAAAGTTTTTTTTTAAATTAATCAAGAAATGGCTGAGAAATTAATTATTTACATTACCTACATAATTATTTTCGCGTGGAACTCAAATATAGGCGGTACCGTGACGTCACGTCACCTGTTCTAGTTTCAAAAACAATGCTTATAGATGACCCACGCTGAACTGTCCCACCAAACTCACTGACAGGGGGGCGCTACCATCGTTCAACTATATGGTTTCCAACATGGCAAAAATCGGAACCAGCGATCCGGTATTGACGGTGGCGCCCCACTGTCAATGTCATGCATAGGACAGTTCAGTATTTTGGAACTATATCACCCCTGGCGCGTTGTCGAGAATGACACTAATTATGTCAAAGTCTTCTTATTGTTTTTGTATATGGCCAGGTCTAGGATATTTTTAAAAAAGATTACAAAATAGAAAAAATCTTGAGTGACCCTGGCTGAAAAATTAAAAACTACTAGATTTTACAAAATTGGATCTGTCAACAACACTGCACCAGGAGGGGTGATTTACTATTTGTACTCGGAATGACTGCCGTGACTACACCGATCAAATGGCGCCAAATATTTGTTATGCGCAACTTTAGAGCCCTGTTACTTCTTTATTTGTTATATTTTCATGATCCTTTAACAATTATTATTAGTTTTACTTATATTTTCAAGTTTTATTAAAAGAAAAAAAAATAGGAAACTTCTCAAAACGTCACTCCAGCACTGAAGACCTATAACCTGGAAAGCAGGCGTATCCAGTGTCCAGCAGCGGCAAGTTTAATCAGTGTCAATAATATGCTGGAAACAACAATAGCTGTAGAGCATACCTGCGCAGTTCTTGCTGAGGATTATCATGTCTTTTCAAAAGGACAGCGCCCTCTGTCCTCGCTCAATGCCTTTGTAACGTAGATTAAATTAAAATGAAATTCATAAAATTCATTTATTTTTGCAAATAGGCTTTTAAAAAGCACTTTTACACGTCCCAATATTAACCCTTCCACTGCTTCGGGACAATAAATGGGCACAGTGCTGAGAAGAAGCAGCGCAAGAAACTCAGTCACTATTGTCAGCCTCCTTTTCAAGGGTTTACAGTCTTTAAAATATACAAATTATAGTCGATAAGTATTGATGCGAGCTAGGTAGTTAAACATTCCAAACATTTTTATCTTTTATATAATCATCAACTTTATTTCTTACAAAACTTGCGCACAAAAAGCAAAACTAGTATGAAAATCATCAAACTTCTAATGCTCGTAACTCAGTTCAGACTGAGTTTAGAGGTATACATGCCATAGTAAGTTTGGTTTATTACGCTATTTTGTAATAAAAAAACAAAGATTGGTCGATGGCCGCGCGAAAAAAAAAGACGCCACTTTCCATACAAAATCTGGCATTGCCATTTATGAATGGCAGTTTGTGGTAATTTATTGAAAAGTTTAATACATTTCCCCAGAGTCAGATTCCCAGTGACTGTTAAATGGTGATAAGACTTTTCTTTTCTGAGGGTACCTGTGCAGTTCTTGCTGAGAATGGCGTCTCCATAAAAGCCGGGTGCGCACAGGTTGCAGGCCGCGCCCGCCGTGTGGTTGACGCACTTGAGGCAGTCGCCCGTGATGCTGTCGCACGAGCTTGGATCGTTAGGGTTGATGTTGCCGGAACAGTTGCACGGCTTGCAGTAGTCACCTGCAACAATTATATGGTTAGAGCCAAAGCACACGATGCGTTGCGGCAATGCGACGTCGGATCGGTGTCGATGCGTCGTCTTAGGCCCGGTTTACACCAAGGAGGAGCAGAGAAATGTTTTGAACAATCAATGAGATGTCATTCAGATTGATTGAAATTGACAGAATTAAATCTGATTGGATAATCAAAACATTTTTGCGCTCCTCTTCGCCTTGGTGGAAACCGATCCTTATTTATATAGAAATATCTGTAGCATGTCACATGATACGATGCGGCGCCGCAGCAGAATTGCAACCACGGAGACGAGGTGGGAAGGGTGAATGCGTTTCGACGGCCGCGCGGCATCTACATAACAACGTTGCTATTGCTGATGTGTTCGCTGATACAGCGAAATTTTTGCAGTGCGGCGCCGCAAAGCATCGTGTGCTTTAGCTCTTAGAGCTCGGAAAAGATAAAACAAAACACGCGACTGCGTAAACTCAAAAGTAATTTTGATATACCCAAGTTCACTCGCTCTCATAATAATTGTTACAAAAGTGAATTATAGAAGTACACTTACCGGTGTTTTCAGGCACTCCATAGTAACCAGCGGCACAGTATTCGCAACGAGCTCCGCCGTATCCCGGCTTGCAGTCGCAAGAGATCAGGGACCCGTTGTCGCTCAGGTCACAGCCAATGGCAAAGCTGGAGAAGCAAGAAACATAATGTCAAACTATTTCGATGGTTGGATAGAAAAAGATAAACAGGCCGCTTCTATGTTAGGTGCCAAAAGGAAGTCTTATGTAAAAACATTCTACATTGTCCCGTAAGGTTTCAATTTAGACATTTCGTGTCGGACGTTTGCCACGCGCTGGATTCGACCAAACAAGAGTAAATATTAATCTCAGAATAAATCGTCAGTTTTGACATATTTCCCATACTGAAACTGTCAGTTATACCAGGATTCTCACATAAAAGTTTGGACGAATCACTAGAACTAAACTAAAATAAAAATATAATGTATTTATTTTAGGCCAGGGCCCATACAATTTCAACAATAAACTAAAAGGCATCTACAGCAGTGTTTTTCAACCTTTTTTATGACACGACCCCCCGTTCACTTTTTTTTTTTCATTAATTTTATATTGTTACTACAAAGATGTTGTAGAGGCCAAATGCTTGAATCCATACAATAGTTATGCATTTGCATAATTTGATTTCGGATAAATACAAAATTAAGTTACGTATTTTTACATCGGTATCTTTATAACTTTATTCAATTTTTATACTTAGGTTAGTTTTGACGACCTTTCGCGACATCTCTTTAGAGGCTTCGCGACCCACAGGTTGAAAAACACTGATCTACACGTTTGTTAGTCGTATACCTCGAAATCAAAAAATCCTTGTAGCTTTTCACCTATTTGCATTTTGCCGCGATAGCGTTTTTTGTTGTAGCGTGTAATATTGGTAGTATATTTTGTTACTAGCACATATTTTACAACAGTAGCAAATTTTGATGTAGCATGTATTATCAATAGCCTATTTATTAAGACGCATAATATTTTGGATAGATTTTTACAACAGTAGCAAATTAGGTAGGTAGGTAGGTATAGTGCTTAAAGGAAATATCGCGATATGTAGGTAATAACACATTACAAACAAATATCTATCAAGGTGAAAAGCGACTACAGTGAAGACAGGCAGGAAAGTAAATCTACTATGAATTTTTTAGACAATTGTAATTAGCGATCAAAAATTATACTACAAGAATAAAAATCTATTCAGCAATCTTGATATCGCGGCGAAATGCGAATAGGTGAAAAGCTACAAGGATTTTTGATTTCGAGGTATACGACTAACAAACGGATCTACAGGCCTTACTTGTTGGAGGAGGTAGGCATGGGGCAGGCACAGATGAGGCAGTCGCGCGGCGTGCCAACCGTGGCGTCGCCGTGGTACCCCGGGACGCACTGCTCGCAGTGGTCACCCATCGTGTGGTGGCCGCAGTCCTGCAAATAATCCCAACTAATATTATAAATGCGAAAGTAACTCTGTCTGTCTGTCTGTCTGTTACGCTTTCCCGCTTAAACCTCGCAACCGATTTTGATGAAATTTGGCATAGAGATAGTTTAAGTCCCGGGAAAGAACATAGGATAGTTTTTATCCCGGTTTTTGAAACAGGGACGCGCGCGATAAAGTTTTTCTGTGACAGACAAAATTCCACGCGGGCGAAGCCGCGGGCGGAAAGCTAGTAATAAATAAATAATAAATATCCTTGGACATTTTAAATAAATAAATAAATAAACCTTTATTGTCACCATAACAAAAAAAAAATACAACTTTAACACAGCTTAACAATTAAAAATAAGGTGACAAGGGCATCCGGCTCAGCGTAAGCTGTACGGCACTAGGTCCATGCAGCGCTGGTTTTCAGCCGGTGCCAGTCTCCTGCACAGTAATACAGCGTACATAGGTAGGTGCAGGTTTACACTGCACTTCTAGTCCCAAACTAAGCAAAGCTTGTACTATGAGTACTAGACAACGGATATAAACATACTTAAATACTTTTTTTTGTAAATACATACATATTATACATAGAAAACACCCAGTCCAATACAAACAAATATGTTCATGCAAACAAATGTTTGTACTGTGCGGGAATCGAAACCGCAACCTCCGGAATAGTAGTCCGTTTCGAACCACTACTACAAACGGCCGACAAGAATATATTGCATATTGCAGGGGTGGCCAACTTGATTAAACATTAAGATCTACTGTTTACTAACGAAACCCTGAGCGATCTACCACTTACATACTTCTTGAAATCATAAATTAAACAGCGTAGTTTAGTACACAATCATGTAGTGTTGTTTTTTTGTCTTGCCACGATCGACTGGACTAATAATCGCGATCGACCGGTTGGCCACCCCTGGCCATATTGTAATGATTTTCTATGTGAATGGAACGGAAACAGCTTGCACATTTTACGGATCTATCACCCGTATTCACAAAAAATACTTATGAGGTCTCACAGTGCGCGTGGACGCACAGGGTGACACACGAACCAATCACAGAGCTCTATTCAACGCTGTGCGTGCGATTTGCTGCTTCACTTAAGCAAGAATCGTTTGTGAATACGGGTGTCAGACTTTTTCCAATCAGGGTAGAGACTAGATAGGTAGCATCATCTCTCGCTCTAGTTTGAGATGCGTGTATACGTGTGTGTTATGGCAAAGGAACCCAAAATATTTCATCATCATTATTTACAACGACATAGAACAGAGGCCTCCCCCAATGATTTCCAGATTGACCGGTTGGTCAATGAGGTGGTCTTTATGAGGTGGTCTCTCCACCTTGTGGGTGGGTGGACGTCCTATGCTGCGCTTTCCGGTACGTGGCCTCTACTCCAGAGGGGTGCAATTGTGTAAAGCAGTCATACGATACTCCCGATTCTCCCGAATGAGTACTCATTTGATAGTTCAAAACGTATGATAAAATTTGTTTAACAAGGCGTTTGACAGAATATAACGTACTATCGGGGACTCTTCCGCCTGACCACTTTGTAGAAATTTTAGCGTAAGCGCATCGCTCCGGTCACGTGCTCACCCCGTCTCTAATTGGTCACGCATTTTACTATATTTTTACTACGACCAATAAGAGACAATCAGGGCTTAGGTTGCAATACGAAATACCATTGTGCACTTTATTGTCATAGGGTTAAGGTTTAAAACGAAATGTTTCTTTTTCTTCAATCTTTCTTAGTTTTAGGCTGAGTTGCACCATCTAACTTTGACCGTAACTATAACGGTAACCGGTGCTTTTTGTATGGAGTTTGACAGAATTTTGACGTTTGTTAAAGTCAAAGTAAGATGGTGCAACTGAGCCTTAGAATTTTAATAATAGAATTTGGTTACAAACAAATAGATATGTATTTTTTTTAATATTGTGTTTTTATACGAGGTCTGTCTGCTTTTTTCTTTGGCGATCTGTCGACATATTCTCTCCTTTGTTTTTTTGTGAAGTTTCGTGATCAATAACCGATTGATTTGTGTTGACCCGTGCTAGTAATTGGACTGTTTGATTGCCTTTTTATTGACCTCCGCTCGATTACTGAACCATGCCTCTCAAAATAATTCTTATATTTACTTACAAACTTATCTATACATTGTTAACTGTTTAAGTGTTATTTAGTTTGAAGTTTAATTGTTATAGATTTAAGACCTTGTGTAAAGACACTTAATGTGCAATAAAAAATTGAATTTGAAATAAAACTAACTTAATATTATAATATTTACGATAACCAATTACCTGGATCATTGCTACCTAGTGCAATATTTATATTAAATTTTAATAACGTAGATAAGTGTTTCTTTAAAACGGAAAACAAAATATGCATTAAAAATAAATAGAAACCTATTATAAGTTTTTATTAACATTCAAGGATTTAAGAAAGTTATAGCCAGATCTTACAATAATTGTTTTTAAGCCACAAATATTCCTTAACTCTTTACTAATTAATTCAATAACATATTGTTTTAAATTATTAGTTCCGAATAAATTAAATACCTATTAAATAAGTAAAATTCGAAAGTAATTGTATGATTTTGTATTTCTCGCCCTAACTAGCTAAACTAATATCATGAGATTTACACTCATAATATCAACAATAATTGTAGAAAGGGCTACTTTTTTCTCGGGAAATTGCATAGTTACCTCGGAATGTGCGATAGCAATTTTGTGACCCGAGCGGGCAATCGCTAGTTCAAATTTTACACGAAGCCTCATATAATATTTTGTAGCGATTCTTAATTGGGTTTCAAATTGACTAAAATGCGACGTTGCCAAACGAGCGCTACGGATGCGGGTAATAAGCAATACTCAATCCTAAGTGCTTTACATAGAGCTTGGTTTGCTAGGGCAAACATCTACAGTGGTGCGCCGACGCTGCTTAGACTCGAAATATGAATGAACGGGGGCGGAGCAAAATCGAGCGTGTGTGTGCAAACAATTTAGGCCCTTAAGGTGTCAAGGCGTTCGAGTCCCCGATAGTACGTTTCGAACTGTGAAATGAATACGATTGCTTTACACAATTGCACCTCTGAATGCTCCAAAATATTCACGTCGAGAGATTATAATTTCAGAGCTGTGGATTACATAAAAAGCTACGACAAGATAATGCTTTAGTGGCATCCTTCTGGTGAGCACACTATTGCTGGCGATGCTTGGTTTTTCTTCTGTTTATGTACTCACCAGCTAGTGGCCCGCGGTGCACTGCTCGCTCGCACGAAAGCCCACGGTAGGCCTTAGGCCAGTGGTTCTTAACCTTTATGTCACGAGGGACCATTTTACAAAATTTCTGTCTTGTCAGGGACCACAATTTTTCAAAATCCTATGAAAGGGGAGGTTGATTTCTCGCCCATTGTACGCCGTTTGCGTAAATCGACTCATCACGGCACGTCACATGTTTATAACGATGTCTTCGTGGACCACTTGGAATGCCTCCAGGGACCACCGGTTAAGAACCACTGCCTTAGACACTGGCACTCTTCGCCTCCTCCGCTAGTCTAATGCACCCACCAGACACACGCCGGTGTTGACGTCACACTGCGGCGAGTGGCCGTTGCACTGGCACGGCACGCACAGCCCCGCGTGCGGGCCCGAGCTGAGCCGGTAGTAGCCCGCGGCGCACTGCTCGCACGACAGCCCGCGGTAGGCCTTAGGACACTGGCACTCCTCGACGGAGGCCGCTCGCTTCATGCCCTCCGCGTAGTCTTCCACGCCGATGTCTAATGCAGCTGATGTCAGTCTGGGAACGTTAGAATCTCTTTTAAATACAAGCTATTTGTATAAGTTTGTAAACTATCGCGTTCCTTTCAACTAAAATAGGGTCTTAACGCGATGTTTATTTACGAGTTACATTATGTACTCACGGCTTGACGTTTCGGCTGCGATGCTGCAGCCGTGGTCACAAGCAGACTGGCGGCTCGCGGCGTTTCGGGCGTCGGCGGGCTTGAAAGTTTCAACTACCCTCATATTGTCATTTGTTATCATCATCGCATGTCATGTCATCGCAGCCAAAACATCAAGCCGCAAAATGTAACTCATTAATAAACATCGCGTTAAGACCCGTGTCTTACTATTTTATTTAAGTTATTATTTGTACATCATTACTATCTCCGCAAACTGGAAAGACAACCTTATAAGGTTGCAGGAAGGCGTTGGATGCTGACCAACTCCCACTGGCCAGTCTGAAAGTCATTGAAGATGGCCTATGTTCAGCAGTGGACGTCCTGTGGTTAAAATGAAGATAATAATAACTTGTGGTTTGTCCAAAAAAATAAGTTGATGATACTAGAAGCTGACTGAATTTCAGCCTCTCTGCTTGTTCTGACTCCCATAGCTTACATACTATAGTATGGTCCGGGAGCACGTAGAATTTTGTCACGCGTAATTATATTGCTGTCGCGACTGTGCGACGGGCGCCCGCAGCGAGTGTGCGAGCGCGACAGCAACATAATTACGCGCGAGCGATAAGGATGGGTAGCTTGGGGTCATTGGACGAAATTCTACGTGCTCACGGACCAGACTATAATAGTGTTTGGAGTAGTTCTGACCTGGCGGACGACGAGTCCTCCCAGTAGGAGGCGCGCCATCTGCTCGCGCGAACTCCTCCTCCGTCAGCTTCACTGCTCGCTCTCACTCCTGTAGCTTACATACGATAGTGTTGGGACTGGTTCTGACCTGGCGGACGACGAGTCCTCCCAGTAGGAGGCGCGCCATCTGCTTGCGTGAACTCCTCCTCCGTCAGCTTCACTGCTCGCTCTCACTCCTGTAGCTTACATACGATAGTGTTGGGACTGGTTCTGACCTGGCGGACGACGAGTCCTCCCAGTAGGAGGCGCGCCATCTGCTTGCGTGAACTCCTCCTCCGTCAGCTTCACTGCTCGCTCTCACTCCTGTAGCTTACATACGATAGTGTTGGAACTGGTTCTGACCTGGCGGACGACGAGTCCTCCCAGTAGGAGGCGCGCACGTAGACGCTGGTGACGTTGACGAGCGCCGCCATGAACTGCTCTCGAGTGAGCGGCGCGCCGTCTGCTCGCGTGAACTCCTCTTCCGTCAGCTTCACTGCTCGCTCTCACTCCTGTAGCTTACATACGATAGTGTTGGAACTGGTTCTGACCTGGCGGACGACGAGTCCTCCCAGTAGGAGGCGCGCACGTAGACGCTGGTGACGTTGACGAGCGCCGCCATGAACTGCTCTCGAGTGAGCGGCGCGCCGTCTGCTCGCGTGAACTCCTCTTCCGTCAGCTTCACTGCTCGCTCTCACTCCTGTAGCTTACATACGATAGTGTTGGAACTGGTTCTGACCTGGCGGACGACGAGTCCTCCCAGTAGGAGGCGCGCACGTAGACGCTGGTGACGTTGACGAGCGCCGCCATGAACTGCTCTCGAGTGAGCGGCGCGCCGTCTGCTCGCGTGAACTCCTCTTCCGTCAGCTTCACTGCTCGCTCTCACTCCTGTAGCTTACATACGATAGTGTTGGAACTGGTTCTGACCTGGCGGACGACGAGTCCTCCCAGTAGGAGGCGCGCACGTAGACGCTGGTGACGTTGACGAGCGCCGCCATGAACTGCTCTCGAGTGAGCGGCGCGCCGTCTGCTCGCGTGAACTCCTCTTCCGTCAGCTTCACTGCTCGCTCTCACTCCTGTAGCTTACATACGATAGTGTTGGAACTGGTTCTGACCTGGCGGACGACGAGTCCTCCCAGTAGGAGGCGCGCACGTAGACGCTGGTGACGTTGACGAGCGCCGCCATGAACTGCTCTCGAGTGAGCGGCGCGCCGTCTGCTCGCGTGAACTCCTCTTCCGTCAGCTTCACTGCTCGCTCTCACTCCTGTAGCTTACATACGATAGTGTTGGAACTGGTTCTGACCTGGCGGACGACGAGTCCTCCCAGTAGGAGGCGCGCACGTAGACGCTGGTGACGTTGACGAGCGCCGCCATGAACTGCTCTCGAGTGAGCGGCGCGCCGTCTGCTCGCGTGAACTCCTCTTCCGTCAGCTTCACTGCTCGCTCTCACTCCTGTAGCTTACATACGATAGTGTTGGAACTGGTTCTGACCTGGCGGACGACGAGTCCTCCCAGTAGGAGGCGCGCACGTAGACGCTGGTGACGTTGACGAGCGCCGCCATGAACTGCTCTCGAGTGAGCGGCGCGCCGTCTGCTCGCGTGAACTCCTCTTCTGTCAGCTTCACTCCGTGCTCCCACTCCGAGTACGATGGCGGTTGTTCAACACTGAAACATTCCTCTCTTCAGCAATACAACCAAGTATATTGGGCTTGCGCAGTGATAAAAATAGGACTTGTTTTCTGATGGGTCTTATGAGATGTGGGCCAGTGTATGGTGTCTCTGAAATCTATGATAAGTTCTCCACTATGTAGGAATGTTAATACAAACATGGTTATGACTTTAGGTGTATGCAAACACAGCTTTTACGAGATTGCGACATTGGAGAATTTGGAAAAAGAAGCAGGTTTTATTAGAATCTAAATTATGAAGAATGCATTCGATTAAGCATAGGCGCAGACCGATTTTTGGGCCCGATTTTAATTTGTATGAAGAAATCAAATCGGTGTAATGTGCGCACTTCCATACATGCCCATACTGATCAAATGCCCGACTAAACTATCGGCCGAGGAAAAATCGATGGTCTGCGCATAGGCTTAGTTGGCAGATGTTACAACTTTCAATAAATATCAACTAAATGTAGTCACAATCCTAAGAAAACAAGAAATAGTGAGTTTTTTATACAGTTTCACATCAGGGCAACCACACAGATTACACACTTTCACCAAATAAATTATAATAACAAAGTAAGCTGACCTGTTGTGCACCAGATACCCGCCAGGCCCTCCGAGGATGACGTCAGGGGCAGCAATGGCGCGGCCGTCGTTGCGGCTCGAATAGTACGCCGTGTATGTGAGGTACCCGCCGTATGACGTCAGACGCTTGCCTGGAAGAAGTCGGCACGAGCTCTTAGATTGTAGGTCGGTTTTTGGTGACAACTAAGGCCCAGTTTTTTTATTAATAGTTAAAATAACCAATAGTCAAATTTGACAGATGTCAAATGACAAGTGGTTAAATATCAGAAAAAAATGTTTTTCGAACAATGGTTAGCTTGACTTTTAGTACATTTTTTAACTATTAGTTAGCATTTTGTTAATATTTAACCATTAGTAGCAAAATTTAACAATTAGTTATTTTAATTATGAATCAAAAAACTGGGCCTAAGTAGTTTCGAAATTTCAACCTCATAGTTAGGCGAGTCTTGCTGCAGAGTTTTAAGAAAATATTAACATAATCTAAAGCCTTTGTGAACAGCCCAATCATATCCACACAATCTCTGTCTTCAAATACCAAGCAAGACTCCTGGTAAAGCTACTCTTAAAGAATAATTGTCTCCGACTTGTTTAAATAATAAATAAATAATAATAAAAGTTTATTTAACAACTTTAACATTACATAAATGCCCGAAAAGATACCGACTACTTCAATGGTCTTCAATTTGTATATGACGTAGATAACACATAAGATTAAATACAGTATGAGTCTTGATAGTGTGAGAATTGATGAACTTTATCAAGACTCTCACTGTATAGGAAGCGGATACCTTTTTTACGGGATCACTGTATCACTGTGAACACCAAAGTATTCCTTGCCCGAGTTAGGCCAATTCCACCTCAGATGTGGCAAACTTTTTGAGAGCAGAGGGCTGAGTTTGAGCGTTAAAAATATATGAACATTTTAGTTCTTGTAAGTTTCCACTAGGGGCGCTATTTAATGTTATTTTTTACGCGCTCTCTAGTGAGGGACGTTTGATGTAAACTCACACTAAGCCCCCAGTATAGACGGTGGAGTTTAGAGTAACCAGGCATAGACAACTCACCAAGGTAGTACTCCGGCGCAGAGAAGTAGACGAGCTTGTTGCTAGCCAGTTCAGCCTCTATGGTGGTGTCGTTGTACACGGCTGGCGCGAAGTCGTACGGGTTGACAGCTAGCGTACGGTTGGCTTCCACACTGACCAGAGACCAGTCCGCCATCACACTGATCTATAGGGTGAAATTCATTATTACAGATTTTACAGAGATTACAGAGGGCTTAGGCCCAGAACAGACGGTGAAACGCAACTGCAACGAAACTGCAACTTTATGATGATTCTTATGAATGAAACTGAAACTGAAAGATTCAAACTGGTCGCGTTATGTGTGGTCTCTCAACGGATGCTATGGCAGAAACTTAGATGCAACTCAAAAGTAACAAGCAGTTGCAGTTTCGTTGCAGTTGCGTTTCACCGTCTGTTCTGGGCCTTAGTGTGAGTTTATATCAAACGTCGTCACTAGCGAGCACGTTAAAAAATATATGAAGATTTTAGTTCTTGAAAGTTTCCGCTAGGGGCGCTGTACAATCCTTCATACATTTAATGTCAGACTACGAATGCGTTTTACGTAAACTCACACTACGCCCCCTGATTGTCGTTGGAACCGCAACTTCATTTAAAAGAACATAATAAAAAGAGAATGCACTTTATCTAGTGCACGCGGATGACAGATGATAGACTTCAAAATTAATGAAGTGTGGCCAGGATCTTAAGTTTTTACCAGCGGTCAAACTGTAGATCCTGGCTACACAGAAGTTGCAGCAGTAGAGATCATATAAAGGTAAAGGTTTTTTTTCCTCCAACTTGTTTTTTTTCGCTGGCCAGGATCACGCAGCATTCTAAAGCCGGGTTTCTAGCGTCTGTTTTGTTCTACACAATCAACAAAAACATGTCAACATTCAACATTTTTTGTAGGCAATTTTATTGAATGTTGAGGTGTTTTTGTTGATTGTGTAGGGCAAAACCAGCTTAAGAATGTCGTATGGTGCTTATTTCACCAGACAAAACCTAGCCATCTAGTAGAGTATCAGTTCTCATACTCTATTAGATGGCTAGGTTTTGACTCTTTTATAATGCGAACAGCTAACAGCTGAGAGATTACTCTTATAATGCGAACAGCTAGGCACTGGTCGTCGTCGTTTGTCGGCCGTTTGGTGTAGTGGTTCGAAATGGACTACTATTCCGGAGGTAGCGGGTTCGATTCCCGCACAGTACAAACATTTGTGTGCATGAACATATTTGTTTGTATTGGACTGGGTGTTTTCTATGTATAATAAGTATGTATTTACAAAAAAAAAAGTATTTAAGTATGTTTATATACGTTGTCTAGTACCCATAGTACAAGCTTTGCTTAGTTTGGGACTAGAAGCGCAGTGTAAAATGTCTAAGGATATTTATTATTATATTATTTATTTATTACTGGAATTCGCTGCATGCTGCTGTCATTCCCGAAGACTATAATCCGGGCCTTTTCAAGGTGAGAGTGTAAAGGCACTTACAGGGCAGATATAAACCATCCTAGACTGCATCCCACTTAACATCAGGTGCGATTGTGGTCAAATAACTGCCTTGTTATTAGGGATGTTATGGATATGTAGTTTCGGTTATCAGATACGGTTACGGATATAGGAATTATATTATACCGGTTTCGGTTACGGATATTTTTTTATTTCGGATATCCGAAAGTTTCGGTTACGGTTACGGATATCTGTGCTTTAGAATGCAATTTGCAATAGTTGTCCAACACGGTTCATTCATGGCCGCACATGTTACATCGAATAAAAAGAAATAAAAAAAATAAAAATTAATACTAGCTGGCATTATAAGGGTAAATCAGGCTGTTGTGTGTATTACAGAAAACAATTTAAACAGCCTACATCCGAAACTATCCGAAACGGTTACGGTTTTGGATATTTTTTTATTTCGGATATCCGAAAGTTTCGGTTACGGTTACGGATATCCGTAACATGCCTGCTTGTCATGCATAAAAGAAACTCACCGCAGCCCAGGACAGGTAGGAGCTGGAACAGCGCGTGGTCTTGCCGGAGCAGTAGCACTTGGTGCAGCCGTCCGGGTTGCCGGCCTGCAGGTTGTAGTACTCCTCCTTGCACTCGTTGCATGCCTGCAAGATACATATTTTTTTATCAGTTCTACATAATAGACTATTTGACACCATTCCCCAATAATTCGAAATCACAACTTTTCTAAAAAGACACTTCATTCTGGTCTTAAAAACTTAATTAATTTTAAATTACCTGTAAATTACGATTTTTGGTCGCGTTGTAATTGAAAAAAGTAGTTTATTTGAGTTGGCAAAATAGTGACGTCACTTACTTGTAGTGCCATACAAAATCTATGGGAGAGTTTCGTTTTGACAGTTTAAAAAAGTACGTCAATTGATTGGTGGTGGCAACACGTCTATTATGTGTGTCACTTCTTCACTTGGTTCATCACCAACACAGAGATCTATGAAGCTCTGAGCATGAGAACTGTTAGGGAAGAGCTAAAGCTAACAGGGAAGAAATATAAAACGCGACTGGAAAATCTTAATCACCCAAATGAGTCGGCTACTGCGTTGGCAACCATCAGCTACATCAGACGACTAAAACGCCACATCGGTGACAGATGGTGAATGAGGAGTGTCCTGCTGGGGAGCATCTTGACATGTTAAAACTGCTTGGAACAAATCTGCTTATAGTTTGGGACTGATTGCAGATGAGCGCAAAAAAAAAATTCTTCACTTACCTAAGTTTTTCCCAAATACAGGTAACAGTCAGCGTTCAATACATAGTTCGTGACATCAAAACTCCAAAGTAGCCAAAAAATTCGCAACACAACACGTCTGTCACAATGAGGGCTATCGTTTTTATACTTAACAGTTGGCACCCCTGGCGATTGACAGGACCTTACTCTACAGTGGCGCCATCTTGATGAGTGCAAATGCGATAGTCCTCCTACCACTTTAGCGCTCACCAGCTGGCGCCACTGTCTTCGCTACTAGCAAGTGACAGGACCTTACTCTACAGTGGCGCCAACTGGTGAGCACTAAAACGATAGCCCTCATTAAAATAAGGTTGTGTTGACAACTTTTTGACTTTTTTGGGTGTCACGAACAATTTGACCCTGACTGTACCTGGCGCTGAGTAAGTGACCTTTTCCTATGATGCGGATTTTGGCACGCGTGCGTATCTGTTCTTCCTATCACGTGGAATGGAAAAACATTAATAGCGCATACGTATACATATGGATTGCTGTCACGTTACAACAACGCAGCGCTTTGACGTACGACGTAGGTGCTCTGAGCACCTTCCTCCTCCTCCACTAGTGAGTCACTAAGACAGGATTTTGCAAAATTCAATACCTAAGGATCCCCTTAAAACGGGATCCACACACACGTACAAAGTTGTGGGCGACCGCTAGTCTCTCTACAGGGTGTTGATTTCAATCCTCGAAATATTTAGGGAGTTGATTAAGTAGCCTATACTGATCACGAATCAGTAAAAAAATTGACTTCGAAATAAAATTAAAACGAACTTTAACTTAGTTAGTCAAAGAAAATACTTATTTATACTACCTACTACGTGGCTCCCTCAGTAGGTTATCCGACATGATAAGCGAGCGATCCGCGTAGTTCGATGGTGCCGCAATGTAAACGTATTGCAGTATTGCGAGCCACAGTACAGTTGGTGTCGCACGGAAAATATTAGCTAAAATTCCGCTTTCGTTTGTAATTTTTGTTTATCCACAACAAGGAAGCTCTTGGCCTGTATCTCACCTGATGGTAAGTAATGATTAGGCTGGAGGTGGAAGCGAGCTTCAACCGGAATCCTCAACCACAGAGGAACTGACTATCTTACCTCTAACTGCCGGAACACAACAATGCTGTTAACATTGTTGTTATGGCGACAGACTTAGCCCTTCTGCCCCCACTGGCAATCGAACCCGGGACCTCTGCGTCTGAAGCAGGTGGTCTAACCACTAGATCATAAGGGCGGTTAAAAATTCCGCGTTTATTTAAAAATAATTCGTTTTAAGTCATAATAGATCACCTAAATAAATATGGCAAGGATTGAAATCAACACCCTGTATATCTCTATGTACCGACCTGTCCGCGCACGTTCCGCTTGCAGTAGCACTGCGCGGTGTTCTGGTCGCAGACGTCATCCGTGGTCCCGTCCAGGTCGCACGAGCACGCCGGGCAGTCCGGGAACGCATAGTGTCCGGGCACGCAGTGGTCGCAAACGCGTCCGATTACGTTATTTTTGCACCTGTGAGGTAGAAACATGGTAGTAAAGATCTTGAAGCGTTATTTGGTAGCTGTCAGCTCTAATTAATAACTCTAAGGGAACCCTAATAAAACACATAAGTTTGAGAAGACGCTGGGAGAGATTTTCAATCTTTTGGAGTAGCTTACTAAAGATTTTGAAATGATTACAATCTTTAAAACTATTTTGTTACGGTACTATTGCAATAAGTATATAAACAACGCGGTATCAATTCGCGCGCAGTTCCCGCAGTGTCTGATTCCGCTGAACGATTATGATCTTTTAGCCTACGTCATTAACTCACGCACAGTTTCCGCTATCCGGCTCGCACTGCAGCCGGCGCTCGATCACGCCGAGCGGTTTGCAGTTGCACTCGTCGCAGCCGTGGAGTTGAACGTATAAGGCGTTCGACGTCATCAAGATACTACGTCATAACTCACGCGAAGTTCCCACTGTGTTTGATTCCGCTGAACGATTATGATCTTTAAGCCTTCGTCGTTAAGGTTCAACTCACTCGCAGTTTCCACTATCCGGCTCGCACTGCAGCCTTCGGTCGATCACGCCGAGCGGGTTGCAGTTGCACTCGTCGCAGCCGCGGTGCACGTCGAAGTTGAACGTGTAAGGCTTGCAGCGGTCGCAGTTCTCGCCTTCTACGTTCTTCGGACAAATGCACATGCCTGCAAAGAAAATGATAGAGTCGTAATGAAAACAATCGTGTGGCATGTGCCTGTGAAGAAAATGCCAGGTTTTACATAAAATCTTAGATATTTGGTTCTAACAGGTAAATTATGACCAACCCCACTCTTCTCATGTTGCTTTTCGACCACGTTGGGCTTGCAGGGACATGCTCAAAGAATACGTCACACCCAGTTTGTTTAATAAAGTGATGGTTAAACCTGTTAGAATAAGTACTGGAACGCGACTATTTTATATTGTTTATGTTGGCTATACGGAAATCCTTTTAGTTTTGTCAAGTTGTCATTGTCACTACTGGCATTTTAAGCTCTGTAATTGTGTCCGCTCTCCTCATTGTTCCAAAACCCACCCCGACTACGTTGTGCTTGCAAGGACACTGTCCGCCGAAGACATCGGACTCCTGTTCAGTTAGCAGTGATGGTTAAACTGGCAACACTAACCGTCCTCGTTATAGATAGCGGTGGCCGGGCAGTGGCAGGGCCGGCAGTCGGGGAAGCCGTAGTATCCAGTGCGGCAGGCGGTACAGGACCGGCCGACCACGTTGGGCTTGCAAGGACACTGTCCGCCGAAGACATCGGACTCCATGTTCAGTTAGCAGTGATGGTTAAACTGGCAATACTGACCGTCCTCGTTACAGATAGCGGTGGCCGGGCAGTGGCAGGGCCGGCAGTCGGGGAAGCCGTAGTATCCAGTGCGGCAGGCGGTACAGGACCGGCCGACCACGTTGGGCTTGCAAGGACACTGTCCGCCGAAGACATCGCACTCCAGTTCAGTTGAGCCCATGAAGTCGCAGAAGCAGGATAGGGCTCCGCTGTTGTACTCAGCCGTGATGGAGAACATCGCGTCGCGGCAGAAGCCTGGGAAACAGATGAAGATTATGTTATAGCAAGATGGGACATTTTCTAATTCTTGTTACCATCACTTTTGTGCACGAACGAAGGACCTTAAATTTAAACACCAATAATTTAGTAATTTAGAACCTGGGTGAAAATTAAATTTTCATTGCACTCGGAAGAAAGAGAGTGGAGAAATAAGAAAATACAGTTCGAGTTAAAGATTACTTCCCATTAGGCTGGTTTTAGAGTCACGCTGACGCACGCTGACCGTCAGCGCTGACAGCCGAAATGTATGAACCGTTGGCGCCAAGCGATCAGCGTCACTCAGGAACGTTCCCTTCAATTACATACATATTGATCTGTCAGCGCCGACGATCAGCAAGCGGTCAGCGCGATTCTAAAACCCGCCTTACTGTATAGATATTATGGAGCTATGCCCATTTCCCATTCCCACTGACGCCAGAATGTACATGTACATGTAATGTGAATGTACAGCTTCGCTGAGAGTAAAATCTAACCATTGAAGGTCAATTTGTTTCAGGTGAAGTTACACTGTCATTGAACCCGCAACGAAATTAGAATAGAGAAAGAAAAAGTATGTAAACAGAAGACAACCTGGGAGTGTAGTGTGAGTTTACACCAAACGAAGTGAACTAGTGAGCGCGTAAAAATGACATTAAATGTATGACGGATTGCACAGCGCTTCTAGCGGAAACTTTCAAGAACTAAAATTTTCATATTTCTATAACGCGCTCACTAGTGAGGACGTTTGATGTAAACTCACACTAAGGCGGTTATCACACTGCGCCGCACTCCGCCTCGGTACGCGGGACGACAGATTTAATCATTGTATGCAAGTACCTCAGTTTGTATAGAAAACACGCGCGGCACAACACTGACAACGCGTCTGCGCGCGGGATTTTTTATATGAAATCACGCGCTCCGCGGCGGAGCGCGGCGCAGTGTGATAACCGCCTAAGCCCTCTGTATAAAGATGAGATAATAATTATCTTAGACTTCACGTTGATGCATGTACCACTAATTATGGACGCAATTCCTTCTTTAACAGAGTTTTCAAAACTTTTAACAGTAATTATTCTAAAAATTTTGACCTTTTTCATATTGTGAGACCAAACTACTTCAAAAATCAAAGTAATAAAGAATTCTTTGGCGACACTACTTAGCACTTTCCCGGTAAAAAGTTGAAGTATCTGTTTACTGCTTAATATTCTGCTATTTTGGTATGGCTTTAGTAGGTATTTTCTGTATTGTTTTAACTTTTTTCATATATTGTAGTTATACTGCATGCTAAATGATTTGTTTTGGATTGTATCTTGATATGCTATTTGTGAAAACTATGTAAGGCATTTTTGATCTTAACCGCCTCATCTATTAATCATACATAAATGCTGTTTGTTTTCCATAAAATAAATAAATAAATAACTGACCTGTGTCGTTAGGGTTGATGTAGTAATGGTTGAGCGCACAGGTGTCGATGAACTCGCGCGTGTAGTCTAGGACGTTCGCCTCCTTTAGCGCGGAGTCCGTGTAGTCTCCAGTGGCCACCACGAGCACGTAGTCTAGCCAGAGGCCTTTGGTGTCTGCGCCCTGGGGAGATGAAAAGGGTTTTCTAAATCGCCGATGCATTTTACGTTAAATATGGAAGTTACTAGAAATCCCGTTTTTGGTTTTTGGTCTCGTATATGGATAATAAATAAATAATAATAAATAAATGTCCTTGGACATTTTACACTGCGCCGCTAGTCCCAAACTAAGCAAAGCTTGTACTATGGGTACTAGACAACTTAAATACTTAAAAATATATAAACATACTTAAATAGATACTTAAATACTTTTTTGTTTTTGTAAATACATACATATTATACATAGAAAACACCCAGACCCGTCACAGAAATTAATATTCATCATTTCAATTTCTGCCCGACCGGGAATCGAACCCGGGACCTCTCGGCATAGTAGTCCGTTCTGAACCACTACACGTAACGGCCGACAAATACTAGCTAAATACTTTTGCCCGCGGCTTCACCCACGTGAAATTCAGTTTGTCACAGATCGTAATAAATTATATCCTGTATATACTCAGGGTTATAAACAATAATACTGTAAAGTTATTAGTTATGCAGCGCGCCGCAGCCGGATTTGCGTCGACCGTCATGAGCGCGTCGTGCTTGACGCCTTCCAGTGTCACGTCGCGACTGCTGCGACAGCAGTGACGTCATACCTGGAAGGCGATGGTGACGTTCTCGTTGACGGGGAAGTAGTCCCGGCCGTCGGCGAGCTTGAGCAGCGCGCGGCAGCCCGAGTTGGACGGACAGTGTTCGACCGTCATGAGCGCGCCGTGCTTGACGCCGTCCAGCGTCAGTGTCACGTCGAGGCTGCTCTCTGCGAAATGAAATAAGGTGATCAGTGGTGGAAAACAGTACCCAGGTTCATTAATGAAACGATTCTGACGTAAAATATACTTTTGCGCAATTTATATTAAAAGGCGTGATCCCAAGGCTTCTCAATTCCAGGCCCGCAAAAGAATTTTAAGTGGCCCGCGCAAGTATGGTTTGAAAATATGCACCAAACCAAAAATCCCGCCGCGCACAGTACAGCCCGATTCAAACTTTATGACCTCTCTGAAGTTATGTCAGAAATGTAATTGGCCTGTCGTTAACGTCTAAATCCACCGTTTGGCCCGACTCTTCAAAAGGTTAAGCAGCCTTGCTAGAGTAAAGTGATACGAGTAGCGTCCACTCATGGCGTGCCACTCACACTATGGCTGTGATGATGATGATGATGAGTTTGCCGCCTTGAAGCCCAGCTGCACGGGGTCGGCGTCGGGCGTCAGGTGGCGTCGTCCCGGATGGGTGGCCGCGGTAGGACACTTGACTCCTGGAGCAGGGAGCACTCACGAGGGTGGTCCGGCTGGTAGTAGTGCACGATGAACATGTACTCGCCGGGGGCCGCCTTGAAGCCCAGCTGCACGGGGCGGCGTCGGGCGTCAGGTGGCGTCGTCCTAATGGGTGGCCGCGGTAGGACACTTGGCACCTGGAGCAGGGAGCACTCACGCGGGTGGTCCGGCTGGTAGTAGTGCACGATGAACATGTACTCGCCGGGGGCCGCCTTGAAGCCCAGCTGCACGGGTCGGCGTCGGGCGTCAGGTGGCGTCGTCCCGGATGGGTGGCCGCGGTAGGACACTTGACAGCTGGAGCAGGGAGCACTCACGAGGGTGGTCCGGCTGGTAGTAGTGCACGATGAACATGTACTCGCCGGGGGCCGCCTTGAAGCCCAGCTGCACGGGTCGGCGTCGGGCGTCAGGTGGCGTCGTCCCGGATGGGTGGCCGCGGTAGGACACTTGACAGCTGGAGCAGGGAGCACTCACGAGGGTGGTCCGGCTGGTAGTAGTGCACGATGAACATGTACTCGCCGGGGGCCGCCTTGAAGCCCAGCTGCACGGGGTCGGCGTCGGGCGTCAGGTACACCACCGCCGTGGCGTTGTCCTGGACGGGTGGCCGCACGTCGCGCTCGCCGCCCGTGCCCAATTCGATCTCCACCTGCACGACATAAATACACATAAGGCCGGCAATACATGGACAGCTCGAGCAGTTAGTCAGTGATCAACATACACGGACCGCTCTTGCAGTCAAGAATCAACAGCTTAATGCTGCCAGTGATAACTGCTCAACTAATCACAAGCGAGCGTGCCGTGGAATGAAGAAAGGGGGCGAAGGTAACTGCGCGAGAGCTGTCGACAGCTCGAGCAGTCAGTGTATGGCTGGCGACTGCTTGACCGCACGATGAAAATTCACCGTGCTGTCGACCGCCCGAATCAGTTGCAACTGCTCGAGCGGTTCGTGTATGTGCGTCCATAGAACTCTGCAGTTCACTGTGCAGTCGCAGCTTGAAGCTGTCGACCCTGACTGCTTCAAGCGGTCCGTGTATTGTCGGCCTAACAGTAGCAAAAAATACGAAGAAAGAATTAATAGCCGACTGAGAAATATGCCACCTTGTCCCACGATGCCCATTAAATATCTTCGGACAATTTCACATAGCGCCATTTAGCCCCAAAGTAAGCAATTAATATGCTTGTGTTTTGGGTGCTAGCTTAACGGACATACTACTTTATACTTTTTTTGGGTCTCATTGCAATGGGACAGTTGCAATGTCTCATTGCATTATCATTGTGTTACAAAAACTCACAACACTGGTTTGCAGCCACCACCAGCAATCATGTATCGTCGACTTTTTTGTCGGCGAGTTAGTCGATGATGCCTTCACATATCGGTCAAATTGGAACACTTTGTCGGCACACGACAACAGGAACTGCGTGATATGGTCCAGGTCCTTGGTGCTCGTGAGCGGCGGAATATGAACTGTATTCTCACCTTCTTAAGCCTGCTCTACACGTCTACAGATACGTCCGCGGACGCTGACAGATGCATCCGCAGATGGATCACCTCGAGTCGTCCACACGTCTGTTGCTTGATCAGTATAAGTTCATTCTCGACAGAGACACAACGTTTAAATATGGATATTGAGATCATAGCTGCCGCAGCTATTTATTTATTTAGTACTTTTAACTACTACGAAAATGTGCATCGCAATAGAGTTATTAAAAATAAATGGAAAAGAAAAAGATGGTGGATGCTGGCTATACATAGAAACAGAACGAAGTAAGCGGAATTTTTATCCAAACTCAAATCAAATTTACGTAATTGCACATTACACACGTAATAACAAGATTTTTTTTTGCGGGAATAGCATAGAAAACCAGCTTGCAGAACTACAAGTACGCGTGCACATTCAATCGCAACTCCGAGCAAACTGATGCGTCGTAAGACGTGTGGACAGGACGCCGGACGTTCGCGCCAAAACCCTTTGATCCGTGCCACAAAAACCGACAACAAACGGATAAGTGGCAGACGCATCTGCGGACGGTAAATACCTACAACAGACGCGCAAATTACCCCATTAGTCCAGTCATTTAAGCTTAAATTAGGTAAGAATCTCGGAATTAGAGATACCCAGCTGTAAGTCTGTAAATACTTGTATATTGACACCCTAAAAGTTGTCTCAAAACCTACATATGGTAGGGTGTAAGCAACTATTAAATTTTAAGGTCAAAGGTCACAAAAATCGGTTTTTTGCGCTTTTTTTGGAAATATCTCATTTCCTATGGGTTTTTTNACATCTACACGTCGGCGGACGCATCGGCAGATGACGTCTGCAGATGCGTCCGCCGACGTGTAGAGGAGCCTTTAGAGTCTACAGCTGCGAAGAATACAGGCAGGCAGTACGGGCACCGCGATGATGCCTGTCTCCGCTGGAATATGAGCCTTATTCTCACCTTCTTAGAGTCTACAGCTGCGGAGAACACGGCCGGCTCGCAGCGGCCGGCGCGGCGCAGGCAGTACGGGCGCGGCGTGATGTGGTCCAGGTGCCACTCGTCCTCTGGCACTGCGATGATCGCCTTGATGCCTGTAAGTGAGTCTCTCTCGCCCTGTAAGATAATGCAGATGTGATATTACATCTAGCCTATATGACACCTCTTAAATAGTGATTGAAAACTGAGGCGTGAAGGAGCGTCGCAGTGATATAACTGCGGCGCAGCATTTGACGTTAAAACACACCCCGTTCCACCACCGCAGGAACCTACACAGGCACTTGTTGATTAAAAAAAATGATGTTAAATTACTAAAAAAACAACTTACATCCAAATAAAGAGTGTTCTCCTCGCTCTGCAGATTGAAAACGTTGATTTTGGCTATGTTGTCGACCACGACTTGTCTGCAGGCGGTGGCGTAAGGGCATTCGTTGAGGTTTGCAATGGCCGCCGTCTCAGGCGCATCACCAGACTGCACCCGTACAGTGACCGTCCATTTGGGCGTGAACAGGTTGGTTTCATTGGAGTAGTCCTCAGACGGGATCGCGCTGCGGTTGATGGGCGTCACGTATTCAATCAGCAGCACGTATGGCCCGGGCTGCTCGATCGTCAGTTTGTACTCTAACTCGGGCTGGTCGTCGTTCAGGAGCGGAATTGTGTTTGGCGCTGCGTTTAGCTCTTGCAGTTGCTGCGAAGGAATACACAATTGACATTTGAGATCAATATCTTGCAGTAGTTTTTTAATAAGTTGATGCTGATGGATGGTGTTGAATTTGAAAAAAGTAAGAATTGGGTTTTACTTTTGTAAGAACCTACTTCTTCGTCTACAAATAATATTTATAATTTGACAATCTATAAGTTTATCTACTAGAAAAGCTTTGTTCTTTTTTGCAGCCTGTGAGTAACTTGATAATCTTCTGACTGAGCAAGCTAAGTGACGATTAAACCTCAGTTACACCATCTTCATTTTACTCGTAACTAAACTAAAACGGTATTTTCATTTGACTGACTTTTAACGTTTGTTATGGTTAAAGTAAGATGGTGCAACCCAGGGCAAGTCTCTGATAATCACTACACTGAGCTTGTTCTATGGCAACTGGTATGACTCACGATGTTGTCGTCGACGTAGAGCGTGACCGGTGTGACCAGCTCCGCAGCAGGTCTTCCCTGCCACCGGGGCACGCGACCTGTCGGCAGAGCCTCTCGCCGATAGGACAGAGGTCAGACAGCTGGTGCCCACACTAGACTCACTGAGAAGACACATGACTCACGATGTTGTCGTCGACGTAGAGCGTGACCGGCGTGACCAGCTCCGCAGCAGGTCTTCCCTGCACGCTGGGGTCACGACCTGTCGGCAGAGCCTCTCGCCGATAGGACAGAGGTCAGACAGCTGGTGCCCACACTAGACTCACTGAGAAGACACATGACTCACGATGTTGTCGTCGACGTAGAGCGTGACCGGCGTGACCAGCTCCGCAGCAGGTCTTCCCTGCACGCTGGGGTCACGACCTGTCGGCAGAGCCTCTCGCCGATAGGACAGAGGTCAGACAGCTGGTGCCCACACTAGACTCACAGAGAAGACACATGACTCACGATGTTGTCGTCGACGTAGAACGTGACCGGCGTGACCAGCTCCGCAACAGGTCTTCCCTGGACGCTGGGGCACGCGACCTGTCGGCAGAGCCTCTCGCCGATAGGACAGAGGTCAGACAGCTGGTGCCCACACTAGACTCACAGAGAAGACACATGACTCACGATGTTGTCGTCGACGTAGAACGTGACCGGCGTGACCAGCTCCGCAACAGGTCTTCCCTGGACGCTGGGGCACGCGACCTGTCGGCAGAGCCTCTCGCCGATAGGACAGAGGTCAGACAGCTGGTGCCCACACTAGACTCACTGAGAAGACACATGACTCACGATGTTGTCGTCGACGTAGAGCGTGACCGGCGTGACCAGCTCCGCAGCAGGTCTTCCCTGCACGCTGGGGTCACGACCTGTCGGCAGAGCCTCTCGCCGATAGGACAGAGGTCAGACAGCTGGTGCCCACACTAGACTCACTGAGAAGACACATGACTCACGATGTTGTCGTCGACGTAGAGCGTGACCGGCGTGACCAGCTCCGCAGCAGGTCTTCCCTGCACGCTGGGGTCACGACCTGTCGGCAGAGCCTCTCGCCGATAGGACAGAGGTCAGACAGCTGGTGCCCACACTAGACTCACAGAGAAGACACATGACTCACGATGTTGTCGTCGACGTAGAACGTGACCGGCGTGACCAGCTCCGCAACAGGTCTTCCCTGGACGCTGGGGCACGCGACCTGTCGGCAGAGCCTCTCGCCGATAGGACAGAGGTCAGACAGCTGGTGCCCACACTAGACTCACTGAGAAGACACATGACTCACGATGTTGTCGTCGACGTAGAGCGTGACCGGCGTGACCAGCTCCGCAGCAGGTCTTCCCTGCACGCTGGGGTCACGACCTGTCGGCAGAGCCTCTCGCCGATAGGACAGAGGTCAGACAGCTGGTGCCCACACTAGACTCACTGAGAAGACACATGACTCACGATGTTGTCGTCGACGTAGAGCGTGACCGGCGTGACCAGCTCCGCAGCAGGTCTTCCCTGCACGCTGGGGTCACGACCTGTCGGCAGAGCCTCTCGCCGATAGGACAGAGGTCAGACAGCTGGTGCCCACACTAGACTCACTGAGAAGACACATGACTCACGATGTTGTCGTCGACGTAGAGCGTGACCGGCGTGACCAGCTCCGCAGCAGGTCTTCCCTGGACGCTGGGGCACGCGACCTGTCGGCAGAGCCTCTCGCCGATAGGACAGAGGTCAGACAGCTGGTGCCCACACTAGACTCACTGAGAAGACACATGACTCACGATGTTGTCGTCGACGTAGAGCGTGACCGGCGTGACCAGCTCCGCAACAGGTCTTCCCTGGACGCTGGGGCACGCGACCTGTCGGCAGAGCCTCTCGCCGATAGGACAGAGGTCAGACAGCTGGTGCCCACACTAGACTCACTGAGAAGACACATGACTCACGATGTTGTCGTCGACGTAGAGCGTGACCGGCGTGACCAGCTCCGCAGCAGGTCTTCCCTGGACGCTGGGGTACGCAAACTGTCGGCAAAGCCTCTGGTCGCCGACCACACAAGGCTTGTCCACCAGTTTAGTCAGCACTGTGGCCTCGTAGTATGCTTCTGGGATCAGGACGAAGTAATCCTGGGGAAAAAATATTGGAAAGTAGAATCAGAGATCCAGTATGCTATGCTTGTTAAATATTAGGTTTTGTTATTATGATTGTTGGGTTGCTCTACCGTGATTTAATTTTCTGAGAAGGGTTTCATGCCATTAGGGCTTGTTTCCACGGCAATCTAGTAATGCAGGATCCCTCAAAAAAGGACTTTCGTGTGAAAAAACATTAATGTGTTTGAAATGTGTTACAAATTCGAACGGATCGGTTTTTTGCGGTACACTGCAAATGGGATGTTCGCGTGAACGTTAACATGTAGTACGCGTATACTACTAAACGGGATCCTGCAAAAACAGTTCCTGCTAAAAACGGGATTTGCCCGTGGGAACAAGCCCTTTAATGATTACAGGAGTAACTCACGATCATGACTTCCTTGGTGGTCTTGAAGGTGACGGTCCAGTTGCCGGGGTTCATGACGAGCGGCGACGGCGCCAGGTCCTTCTCGCCCGACACCGTGATCAGCTGCGGGTCCATGGTAGGCCGGAGCAGCACGCTGAATCTGATGGGGGAATATGGACACAGTTAAAGCCTGGTCCGGGAGCACGTAGAATTTTGTCCAATGACCCCAAGCTACCCATCCTTATCGCTCGCGCGTAATTATATTGCTGTCGCGACTGTGCGACGGGCGCCCGCAGTGAGTGTGCGAGCGCGACAGCAACATAATTACGCGCAACATAAGGTAGACTACAGATACCCCGCAGACTATATTATAAGGTCACCTCCAAAAGACAGACGAAATTTTAATAGGGCATCTAATAATATTAGAAAAATTGGACCCTAGCATTAAAACCAAAAGAAATAGGCTAGTTTCTGTTTTTACCATCTTATTTTAACGTAGTACCATCCCTCTGCTTAAGCTGAACATACTGATGCCTTTTATCGGCCCTCACTGTCTAACCGTGTCATAACCATGACTGGTGTTTTTGTATGGAGTTTGACAGACTTTTGCCGTTTGTTAAAGTTAAAGTAAGACGGTGCAACCCAGCCTTAGAGATCTAGTTTTATCATGTAAAATCCATTATGTAGTAGGCACTGGACTGAAGGTGCTACTAAGGTACTATACAATTTAAGTTCGCTGTACGATTGTGCCTCGCCATGAAATGCCTGAAAAAACGCTGGCGTGAAAAGTTTCTTAGTTCATAGAGCCTAAGCAATCTTATCCTATAGGTTCTGAGCTATAGCAAGGTTTTATAAAGGTACATACTTCTGTTGCGTTTCGACGACGCTCTCAGGGGTGATGATAATGGATGCGATGACGGGGTCACGCAGGGGATTCGCATATTTCAGCACCATGCGGTACAGAGACGACTTGGAGATGTGCACGATGTTTATCACTTCGTTCTGTGGACACGAGATTGTTTCATTTGAATCACATGCACCATTTATAAAACCATGATCGTTTCGTTTATCTTCTAAGCTTTTCCTATTTTGTAGTGAATATTTTCTGTCCAACTGGTCACAGCAGGAGCACTGTCTTATAGAATTCTTAATGTCTTATAGAAATCTATCTAGCAGTTGTTAAAACGGTAGCGCATTTTCTTACATAACTTTTCAATTCCTATCATTGGAGGTCCGAAAATATTTCTCATACAATTTGATACCATAATGATCATTCTTCATAAAAAATTTAAAACCTACATATTTAAAAACATAATCATTGATATTCATAATATCACTAATCATACACTTAGTTTTTACTAATATTTGTTTTCATATATTTTTCTATACTAATGATCGAAACTCATAATCATTCGAATAAATAACTATAATATTCATAAATGTGATGTATCCTAATATTTGTCTTCATAAATTTATTACTCATACGTGTATTTATCCATATTATTGAAAATCATGATGTCTATATTCGTATTAAATCGTATTTTAACATTTAATTAATTTGAAATGGTCCAAAACAGGCAATATTTTGTGCCACAAAACTAACGTGACAGAAACGAATCGCTGCAAAACCGACTCCACGTAGTCTTGTCTGCCCTACCCCTAGAGTGTAATTTAAAAGCCGGAGGCGCGGAGGGAGGGCATGCTCATGAACGCTTCAAACTCGGTACTTCTTTCCCAATTCCATAAAATTCAACACTTAGAAAGTGACAAAAAATTTTAAAATAGCTAGTTGAAACAAACCACAGCTAATTTTCATAGTGGACTGTACTATGCGATAAACATGTCTGTCAATTTGACAACCTTTGTCGGAAACATTATTCAATGAAAATATTGTCCGAACCCTTAGTATTTCTCTTCGACAAACACTTTAACACATTGTAAACCACTTTTCTTTCACGACTATAAAAAGATTTTAGCAATTTAATTCACAAAATCAATTGCGCACATTTAAAATAAAGTTTGTTTACACTTTGACAGCAATAGACTGACATGCAAGGTGACATGACAATGAAGTTTTTAGTTACTGTTGCCATTAAAAGAAATTAGTACCATTAGTTTTCCGCAACATGGCGAGGGTTTTTATGTTCCTGGTCAGGCTATAATTACGATATCTACATAGGACACCATCAAAGACACCTAAAGGATAGGTGGCAAAACTTCGCGTAATTAGATCGCGACGAAAATAATTTGCAATGTATTTTGTACACTTAAGCTTAATTATTTACTAGCTGACCCGGCGAACTTTGTTTCCTGGCTCTAAACTACCTCCCTGACAATTTTCAGCTAAATCGGTTCAGCCCTTCTTGAGTTATAAGCGAAGTAACTAACACGACTTTCTTTTATATATATAGATTCTTAAGACAAAAAGTTCTTTCTCAAGCTTAATGAAAACATAAAATATGTTATGGGTAAAACGTGGTAAAACCCAAACTCTTTTTTATCAGTCTGATAATTATTATGCTAACTAAGGAAAAACCTCAGATAACCCCGCAACGAATATTTAATTTCAATATTATTAGGATTGACTGATTTTGGTAAGATTTTTAAAAATAAAATACGACTAAAACTAGGAAAATAAAAATATCATTCAAAATATACATACAAATACAATATTTTCGTTAAAAAGTCGAAACCAATACTAAACTTGTATCTTGTGATTTGTTGCGGAACATTATAACATTCCATTTTGTTCTCTGTATCCCGACTATCAGGGATGTATATCATCGTTTCTAGTAAGCCCCAAGCTAAGCCCCAGCAAGCTGTGGTGTGCTTAGCTCCGAGCTTACTGCCGGACTGAGCCAGGCGTCTGCGGCAATCGCAGCCTCCGCGACTAGGCATGGGAAAACTATCGATAGCAGTGGACATTTTTACGGCCATTTTACTATCGATTTCTTCGCGAGTGTTTATAGAATACCTAAATAATACAAATAGGGCTATAGGTTACCTTAAAACACGATGATAATATTTTTTATTAACCATCAAACGTATAGGTCGCGTAACAAAAGTTTGGGCGAACAATTACAACGATATAATATTAGAATACAGATCACACAAATAAGTCAGAATACGCAAAACCTATTACGGATATAAATCTTTGCTTCTGTTGATCGCGTCAACTCTTGCTGTGCGACCTATAGTTTTTAAAACCTTATTTCGATGAAATAATGTGTTACATCGATAGTTGCCATTTTCAGCTCTACGCATCTCGCGCATGCGTCGTATGCACTTTATATTTGTAAAGTACCTACGTATGATGCGCGATGCAGCCTGAGTCGTTTCGGATGAGACGTTACGGCTCACCGGGGGGTGGCCTCCTCTTTTGTGAGGGGTTACAAACACGTCAAAGGGGTAGATCTGTTTGGGATTATAGCGTCTGCACTCCGGACTGGAATTAGGTTGCATAACATAAAGGAGGAGCGATCTCACGAAGAATTTAGTACTTTACGTTAAACAAATTTAATGTTCCTTGATAGCGATAAAATCAGAACCCTCAGTTTTTACCAATAAACATCCATCTACCATATTAAGGACTGTAACTCATTATATTGCCACATAATGAGTCAATTAATTTAAATTCCTCTAGTATCTACCTTATTGCCCCTGACTTCCATAAGTATTAGTGTATATTATTAACCTCACTACTTACACTTACGCTAAAGGAAATTCATATGCATAATCGCTGGATCCGTTACAAAAAACGCCCCCCCTTGCTCAAACTAACATGAAGTCGGCCGCTTGGCGTGGGTCTTTTCAATAAGAGCTTCCAATTGCGCATGTCCATAGTCAAGGACTAGTATAGAACACAGGAGAATGCCGCAGTAGAGCCCAGAGCCAGTCATACAGTACGCCAGTACTGAACCATAAACGAAGTGGCGCGCACGATGCGAACACTCCGACGGTGACCTAAACAACGCACAGACATACGTGTACCTATGCAGTTTGCTTGAAAATGTGGGTATGATTTTATTTAAGGGACTGGTCGAAGGCGAATGGAATAATGCAGTGCTAAGCGAAGTTTGACCACCACTTTCTCATCATATTTTCTTAAAGATTTTATTTAAAATTTTGATCGATTTTTTTGTATTTAATACACATTTATTTTTGTCATAATTTCATGTAAGGAAGGAACAAACTGTTCCTTCCTTACATGAAACAAAATTTCTAAACATTGCTGGCGTTTTATTAAACAATTTTCTAGATTGATGCGTCGTTTTATTAACAACGAGCGCAGTTGATGTTTCAATGAGCGACTTCCTGCGTCACCGCTCCTCGACCGTCCTCGTGAACAAATTATGTGAATCCCTACAATAAAAGTGAAGTGAAAATACCTTAAATTAGACAGTCGATTTGCGTTCGATTACGTATTGGCGAATAGGTTTAAATACAGTGGGTCTCAAGTTCGATTCTTGTGCTGTCAATTTGGGAAATGACTTTGGATATAAATGTATTTCAAATATATTTTGTAACGAGTGTATTCGAGGAGCAACTACTCTAGGAAATCGCTCTTGGAAATAACAACGCCCTCGCTGCAAATAAGTGACGCGTCACTTCCTACTAGAACACAAACGTTTAAAGTCGCTCTGAATTTAGAAAAAAAATGGTTAGAAAATAAAAACAACAGTAGAGATAATTTGTTAGTCGATTAAAATTCAGGACAAACATTAACTTGCCACGCTATGACACATTATAATCACCACGAATGCAATCGATCGACTTTCAATGTAAAAGTGCTTTTTAAAAGCCTACGAGTATTTGCAAAAATAAAATGAGTTTTAAGTTTTAATGGCATCGAACAAATGGATCCACATTAAATAGATACTTATTATTTTACCACAATTAAAGCAACTCCATCAGGACACAAATTCAACCAAATAATGTATTTATTTTAACACCGACAAAACGTGCGTTCTTACTTTACTGTGTCTTGACGGTCAACTTGCATTGGATTTGATTAATTGCAGTAGGAAGTCTAGCTATGACTAGTGCAACGTCAACTGCAGTTTATAATGAGGGGAGGTTAGTGAAGAATGTGAGCTACGAGCAGGAGCCTTGCAGCGAGCTCTAGAGCCGCTTAGCTTGCCTCCTTGCCGCGCTTGCCGCGCGATGGCGGCCCCGCATAGGAGACACTACGCATGCGCTAAACACTAGGGCGGACTTGATATCGATAGTTTATCATCGATATGATCTGATGAAATTACCAAATAATATTGACAGCACCACATTTTAGATCTGTTAACTCATACCATAAACCACTCGGTATACGACAACACCAAGTCACAGTCAACTTTTAGGTGCACTATAACTTTGACATAAGTATTGAAAATATTTATATTGTAAAGTCAAAATAATCAACATATAATATTCATAATTCAGAATACAGTTTCAATAATACATAGGTATTACGTTTAAATATTTTTTGTATTGAATTAATTAAATAAAAATAATTGTTATTACTTCACACGATCATAAAACATTAGGAGATTTATTGACAGCTGACCACTACACACCTCGAAACGACGATCATCGACTGTCTATAGACCAGTACTAATAATCGCAATCAAGCAGACGATGTTAACAAGACCGCACTATTCGCATTCATTTTGCACGGCGACTGGCCTAGTCTAGGAGCTGTAGTCCCTCAAAAGTATGATATGTAACATGAAATAAAAATAATATAATATGAGAAAAAAAGAAAGCTTTTGTTTTAAAATGAAAAAATGAAATAAATAAAGCATCAAAAGTTAAAAAAAGTATTAAAATAAAAAAATAATTAAAATAAATATCATTTACAGTGATTAAAAATATCACGATATTAAATAAATTAAAAACAAATTATGTATACAAATTACTGGATTTGAAATAAATCCACTGTGGTTTATTTATAGCTGAAATAGACTTTTTTCATTTGAAAAGCAAAAACTAAAAGAAATCACTATTTT